TTTCTTTGTGTGTTCTTTAAATTCACTGAAATCTTTTATCATGTTTGTAATTGTTCTTTTGAGTTCCATGTCCTGCATTTTCTCTAGGGGGTTCTCATTGTACTCCTCTGGAGGAGTATTGATATTTGGTGGGGATATGTTATTTTGGTTTTTCATGTTAATATTTTTTCTCTGTGATTTTGACATGTGAATTTCTTTTGTAGTTTCTAATTCTTGTGTGAGACTCAAGTCTTCAAGTTTAGGTCCACTTCTTTTTGTAAACTTATGTGTCTTTGTGGTTTACTTTTTGGGCATGAAAAGCTGGTTCCTCTAAGCTTGCATTTCTCTCTTTTGATTTTACATTGGGATGACCAGATTGCTTTTGTCTTCAGGAGTTACCACAGAGGCCCAAGTCAGATGAGGATCAGATGGTCTCAGGCTTCCTGCTAAGGTCTGAATCCCTCCAGGAAAGATTTTGGCCTTAAGAATTTGGGATTGGACTGGCCTGGAGCAGGGCCCCAGAAAGTTGCTGGTCTAGGGCAGCTGGTGGCCGTGCAAAGGGAGATGGGGCGGGAAGAGGCCCCAAGGGCTCCTGGGGACTGTACTGAAGAACTGGGTTGGTCTGGATGCAAAGGATCAGGAAGTGGAAAGGTCAGCCCTGGTGTCCAGGAAAGAGGCTGGCAGGTTGTGTGCAGCCCAGGGAAGCAGAGGAAGGTGAGGGCAGGACCAGGCCCTGAGGGTTCCCAGGAGAGAGGCTGGCGAGGGCTCCCAGGGGAGAGGCTGGCATGTTGTGGGTGTCCTGGGGCCCTCCGGGCAGGGGTAAAGTCAGCACAGAGTCATGATGCAGACTTTGAGAGTCAGGTGAGAAGCAGGCAGTGCCAGCAGCTGCAGACTCGTTTATTGCGGATATGGGGCTCCCTTATACTCCCCCTCTGGTGTCCCATTGGTCCATTGATAGGTCATGTCTGTTTCTCATTGGCTCTCTGTTTCAGGCCATTTTCGTGTCAGCCGTCTCTGTCTTTTGGCAGAACACAGGTTTGCCTCAGCCAGATGTTTCTGGTGCATTTGCAGGTGCATGCACAGGTTGTTCAGGCCGCACTTCCTCCTACATATCCACCCTTTTTCTTTTTGTGAAGCTCTAGTGGGAGCCAAGATTCTTTGCCTTGGCATTGTTGGCCCCACCTCAGGGGGTCCCCAGTATTATGGACCATGCCTGTCTTAGGTTGGCTTGGTTAGCAAGCTCTTACCCGTCATTGACTACCTACCCTCAAAGGGCGACCTCCCTGGGTATGAGCCCACCAGGGTGATTGTTATACAGAGGCCTCCTGGATTTCCCCATGAGCCAGGCCTGTAGGACTTCGCCGGGAGGATCGCGGCCTTTATATCAGCTGTCTCTATGTCTTTTGGCAGAACGCAGGTTTGCCTCAACCAGATGTTTCTGGCACATTTGCAGAGCGCATGTGCTGGTTATTCAGGGCACACTTCCTCCTACATTGGTGGGTTGTGTAGACCAGGGAAGCAGAGGGAGGTAAGAGCGGGCCCAGGCCCAGAGGGCTCCTGGGGACCCCAGAAGGAACTGGCTTGGTCTGGATGCAAAGGATCAGGAAGCAGTGGTGGTTCCCTGGGTGTCTGGGGCGCCAAGACAAGGAATGGGACAGGACCCAGGCTAGGAGGAGAGACGGGCAGGGGAGCTGGGAGGGTGACTAAGGCTGGGGGAGTCAGTCATGGAGGGTGCAATTGACTTACCCCAGAGAGAGGCCTGCGGGTGGGAAAGAGGCCTGCGGGTCGTGCAGGCCCAGGGAAGCAGAGGGAGGTGATGGCAGGGCCAGAATATTTTTTATAAATAATCTTGAGGATCGGTAGCTATTGTGGGAAATGAAATACTACATAGATAGTGGCCTAAGGAAGACCTTGAAAAGGTTGTGAGAGTAGAAAGCATCAGCTGAGCCTGGGGAGGGAAATGTAAGAATGCATTTGGGGACAAAAACTGTACAAATGGATTCAGAATTATCAGTGGTATCCCAGAAGGGGTCACTGTAGATCAGCCCTTTCCAACCTCAGCACTGTCTTTTGATCAGAAAGTTCAGCAAGATATCAGGCATTGTCAGAGAGATGTTGAAAGGGAAGGGGACAGAACTCTACCAACCCATGGTTACTCTACACTTGGAAAATGAAGCCCCATCATTTTGAGGGAAGCCCTAAGAGCCAACATGAGGAGAGGGGAAGATTTGATCCAAGTTTATAAATAACCATAGAAGCTATTTATGGGGGAGAAAGCAATGTAATTCACTAACCCTTCTGATACTGCAGCTGAGTTCAAGGCCATTTTCCTACCCCTTAGCAACACCTTGAAGCAGGAAGGTACAGAACAAAAGGAAGTGTCTCTGGTTCTTAGTGGGAGGTAAACTTTGATACTTTATTTCCAGCTCATAACCTTCTCATAGAAAAAAATAATGTTGTGGATGAAAGATCACATGATTGGCTGTTCACAGAAGCCTGGAATGCTCTGGGAACAAGCCTAACATGACAAATTATTTTACTTGCAAGATTTTTAACAAACGTGTGACTGTACCCTTACATACACTACCACTTTCTTGACTGATCCAAAATGATTATATGCTTATGAGGCCCTCGAGTAGCTTACGCATCCTAGGGGTGCTGAAGGCTAGCTTTTAAATTTAATTTTCTTCATTGACTGTGACTATATGGACTCCCAGATACTTTGTAGGTATACTACAAAGTATACTGTAGAGGCACAGTTTGTGGGCTCCAGGGAGAGACCTAACTTTCTAAAAAAGGTTTATAATCTGAATTTTAGGAGTTAATATGGAGGAAGTGCCTAATATAACCTCTGGGTTCCAATCATTCTTGTTTCTCTAATCTTGATAGTCTGATACCCTTATGTGTTTGATATTTCTCTGACTGCTATAAGTATAAAGTTTACTGTGCAAGTTCTGCTGCCCACCTTTGATCCATATACAAATTTGAGTGACGTTTCAAAAATGTCATCTTATTTCTTTGCATTTCTTCCTAATTCTTGGGTCTTTGTGGGTGACCAGCTTTCTATTTACTAGGGAGAAGTAGATACCAAAAGATGTGGCTCTGCTTTGGTCTCCAGTCTTGCCACAAACTTGAAACCAAGGTATCATTTTGCTGCTTTGGAAAACTCCTATTACGAAAGGCTTCCGTATCGGTGAGTAACATTTCATCCATTCACATTTTTGAAGAGCTTGCCTTGGGTCTTCTCATGAACAGATCATCTTGTTTACTGTTAGCCGTGTAATTTCTTGGTTCCTTTTGGTACTCAAGCACTGAAACAAGTGACTCACAAGTCATTCATGTTCTCTAAGGGATTAGACTATAAGGGCCCTTAAAAGTTTAGGATCTCAGGTTACAATGCTGTGTGATCATTATAGTGCAGAAGGTCCTGCTTTCACCAGATCAAACCAATAAGTACTCTTTGTACTCTTGAAAATTCAGCTGTCAGCATAATGAATTTGGAATTTCCTTTTTTTTTAATGTCTTTTTGATATATTTTTATTTTATGTGTGTGTGTTTTGCCTGCATGTATGCAAGTGCACCTGTGTATGCAATGCCTGTGGAGGCCAGAAATGGGTGTAGGATCTCCTGAAACTGCAGTTATAGACAGTTGTTAGCCACCAAGTGGGTACTGGGAACTGAGCCTGGGTTTTCTGCAATAGCCAGTGCTCAACCGAGCTACTCTCCAGCCCCCTGGAATTTGGAATTTCATTATGAGAATGAAGAAATTCTACTGAGTTAGATGTGGTAGCTTATGCCTGTAATTCTCAGCACTTGGAAGCTGAGGCAGGGGGAGTGCTGTGAGTTCAAAGCCAGCTTAGGCCGTAGACTGAGACACTGTGTTTCCCCCTGCCAACCAAGAACTTGTATTGATTTCCTCCTTTTAAAGTTTGACTAGCTTTTGTTTTTCTTGTACTTATAAATAATTTTTGGTTAGTATAGAGCACTTTAAAACATAGAAAAACTAAAAAACTGTATCTATCCATTATATGACATCAGTTTTTTTTTTTAATTTCCTAGAAAAATGAACTCTTACTATTTGAGATGAATTTTTTCCACTTAGAGCATGTTTGTTTTTAGTTCTCACTATTTCCATTTTTTATTGCACAGGAGAGACTTGTCAAATGAGCCTCCTGTCCCATTGTCTAGCTTCAATAATCACCAACATTTTGCTAAGTTTACAACTTTTTTAAAAGCAAAAGTTGATGTTTTGGTGCTTTTCAAAGATATGATCTCATTTCTTTGTTACAACAGCTCTGTGATGTTAGGGATTGGTACCCTACTGCTACCTCAGAACGTAAGTCTAATGAGTGTTTGGTTGCTTCTCTTTGTATGTGGTGGACTCAGGGCTTCTGCTTTTTCCTAGCCCTGTAGAATCTACATATTTCACAATGGCAAAGTAAAGTGAACCCGGTATGGTGGTACATGCCTTTAATCCCAGCACTCGGGAGGCCAAATCTGGAAGATTTCTGTGAGTTTGAGGCCAGCCTAGTCTACATAGTGAGTTCTAGGCCAGGGCTGCACAATGAGAACCTGCCTAAATAAATAAATAGTAAATAAGTAAAATTTAAAGTGATATTCTACTACCTTATTTCCATTCCTCACCCCTCCCAATTAAAGTCTCTTATAATCCCTTTCTAGTTCCATGACATTATGCGTGCAGGTGTGTGTGTGTGTGTGTGTGTGTGTGTGTGTGTGCACATGCGCACACACACAGAGTTTTAAATCTAGGTTCTGCATATGCAAGAAAATGTGTTTTTTCTTTCTGAGTCCAGTTTATTTTTCTTTCTGAGTCCATTTCCCTGCAAATATCATGGTTTCATCGAATAAAGCCTATTGCCTATGTGTACCATTTTAAAAATTTTAAAAATCCATTCATCTGTTGGACACCTAGACTGGTTTCACTATTCCAAGTGAGTAGTGTAGCAGTAGACGTGGATGTGCATGTCTTTGTGGTATATGGACTCATAGTCCGTCAGGTGTGGAGCAGGTGTGGTATAGCTGGCTCATATGGTAGTTCTCTTTTTGCATTTTTGATAAACCTTCCTAGTGGCTGCACAGTTTATATCCCCCCAGCAGCGGGAAATGGATCCTCCTTCACCATAATCTTACCACCATGAGAAGGGCGACATGGAGGAGGAGGAGGAGGTATTTGGAGGAAGGAAAGGAATCAGCCAGAGGGTGTAGGGCAGGTGGCACAGGGAGGGTAGTAGGGGAGGGGGAGGAATTAAAAACCAAGTATAATGACTCATGTCTGAAAATACCATAATGAAACCCATCACTTTGTAAAAAACCAATTTAAAAAAAAGACTGTATATTGTGGTACACATCTTTAATCCCAGCACTTAGAAAGCAAAGGCAAGTGGATCTCTGTGAGTTTGAGGCCAGCCTGGTCTACATAGCTGGTTCCAGGCCAGCCAGGGGCTACACAGTAAGACCCTGTCTTAAAAAAAAAAGCATTGGCGGGGGGCTGGAGAGATGGCTCAGTTGTTAAGAACACTGGCTGTTCTTGGAGAACATCCGGGTTTGAATCCCAGCACCTACATGGCAGCTAACAACTGTCTATAACTCCAGTTCCAGGGGATCCAACAACAACTTCTGTCCTGCGCGGGCATTGCACGACATGGGTGCAATTAACTACATGCAGGCAATACATGCATACACATAAAATAAAAATAATAAATATTTTTTTAAAAAAGTATGGTGGTCACACTGGCATGTTCTTTTTTTTTTTTAAATAGCCCACTGATTCCAATTTGTGCTGCTCATATGCCCATTGGTATGTGGCCATCCACTGGAGCATGAGGGGCCACCCATGAAGAAAACTGACCCTCCCTCAGAAGCTTTCAATTTTCAATAGCTTCTTAGTGAAGGGTGGGGAGGTAATGAGCACCCTCCCCTATCATCTTGCCAGTGCTGACAGACTTGATCTTGTGCAGGTCTTATGCAAGCAACCACAGCCTCTTTGAGTCCATGAGTGAGTGCAATGGTCTTGTCATGGCCGGAAGATGTGATTTCATGTCAGTCCTCCTAACCTCTGGCCCTTACAATCTTTCCACCCCCTTTTCCATGATGGTCTCTGAGCCTTGGGGGGAAGGGCATCATACAGATGTCCCATTTAAAAATATATTTTATTTTACTTTTTTTTTTAAAGTGTGGTGGTGATCTGTTATCTCTCAAATATGTTCTAGAAACCATGTTGTTCTACAAGAAAATGCACAGCATGCCACCCGCTTCATAGCACTGGCAAATGTTGGAAATCCAGAAAAGAAAAAGGTAAAAATTTAAGTGTTTCATTTCTCTTACCCAGTTTAGTGTGGATCTTTGGCTCTCCCTGTCTGTAAGAGCCCAGCAGCCTGACTCCTTCATAAAGTTAGGGAAAGGTCAGTTTTGTAGGTCTTAGAGAAAAGCCGAGGAAGTGGGCTCAATGGTACAAAATGGTGGTTCCCCTTTCCCGCCACCTCTGTTGGTTTTGTGTTGGCCCTCAGATGATATTCTTACTTGCTTCCAGCAGCCTCATTTATCTAAATAATAAAATTCTCTCAAGAATATATGTGAGCCTTCCATGGCTTCCTGAATTATTAGTTAATGGAAGCTAGTGCAGATGATGAAAAAAAATATGCCAGAAAAGTGGGTAGTGTTTTTCACCCTGACAACATTTCTGTTTTACTAAGGCTAAAGAATATACTGTTGTGGATTGAGACAGCTAATAGCAGAATGACCAGTCATGTGAGAAAGTAAGCAGATAGCTTTTAAGCCCAATGCCTAGCAAGTTTAGATTTGTGATTTTTTTTTTTTAATTATTTTTATTTTGGCATATGAGTGTATTGCCTGCTCTTATGTAAATGCACCCATATTGTGCAATCCCTGCAGAGGTCAGCAGAGGGCATTGGATCCCCTGGAACTGGAGTTAACTAATGGTTATTAGCCACCATGTGGGTGCTGGGAACTGAACCTGCGTCCTCTGCAAGAGCAGCCAGTGCTCTTAACTCTTGAGCCATCTCTCCAGCCCTGTGATTTTTTTTTTTTAAATTGCCTTTTCAAATAGAATAATATTCATAAGAATGTCAGTCTTTTACTTAGTCTCAGAAACATAAAGCCCTTCATACTTCAGTCAGATGTGTGCATTTTTAAATTGACAAGTATTATTCATCTCAAAATTTTGTTCTAATCTCTACCCCTACCAGCAGTGTATATTTTTCTTCTTTCCTTTTCTGTACTCTCACTGGGTAGTATCAATTTTTTTTTTTTTTTTTTTTTTTTTTTTTTTTTTTTTTTTTGTCTTTTTGAGACAGGGTCCCCCTGTAGCCCCAGCTGACCTGGAACTCACTATGTAGACCAGGCTGGCCTTGAACTCACAGAGATCTGCCTGCCTCTGTCTCCCAAGTGCTGGGATTAAAAGCGTGCACCACCGTGCCCAGGTAGTATCAATTTTTTAATGTTTTTGACAATCTGATTTGTTGGAAGATAGTGTATCAAGTTTTATTTCCATTATTGTATTGAGGTAAAACATATATTTATATGTCTAAAATTTTCAACCTCATGCCATTCATTTGAGATTTTATATATATAAACACGAATTATTTTCTTCTTTGCTGCTGGTCCATAAGGCAATTTATCAACATGTACCAGAATTTGCATATACCTGAGTTGTCTGATAGTAGTTTTCACTAAGAAAATGGGAAAGCAGTGCCGTTATTCTGCTGACGAAGTTATCACAAAAGACTCAGCCACAGAAGTAATTTGTCTGCAAGACTTACAAAACAAGTCCCTATGGGTCCTGCAGTGAGACTTGTCTGTCCCTTATCCTAATCTGTGCCAGGGTAGGGCTTTGATTGGTTGCTCATTTACTTTGTTGGTCCTCATTAGCCATTGCACAGGCCACCAAAATGACATTTGCTATGCCACTGTGTATTTTCTGAGCTCAAGCAGGCTCTTAATTTTCCTAAATTTCAGATACTTTCTCTGAAATCTTCACAATAAATTAGGTTTATTACATTAGGATAAATAGCATTTTCCCTAATGTTCTGTTCTTTTTTTCTAAAGTATCTTTATGCATTTAGTATTGTCCCCATGAAACTAATGGATACAGCAGAACTGGTAAAACAGCCTCCAGATGTTACTGAAAATCCTTACAGAAAATCTGGCAAGGAGGCCGCTACAGAAAAACAAATTCCTGCCCCTGAGGTATGTTCTGATTTTGAGTGGGATTTTTCCAGGCAGCTTGCCCATTCTAGGTATACTTTTCGAGGTTATAGTTTAATATGTAAGGTAAGTTTAACCTAGACTTACAAATTTTTGTCCTCTTTGCAAGTCAACAATAGTATTTAGAAAGTCTTAGATTGTAATTAAGCTAATTTTAAAAATTGTATTATGGGCATTGTTTCATGTTGTCTTTCTTTGTTTACTTGATTGGTATGTCGAGGTTATAGTTTTATATATTGCTTTTCCTTGTCCAGAGTTGATTATTCTCAGCATTTTAGGCAATGATCCATTGATAGGAATGCAATTTATGATTTTATAATTTCTAATAGAGCAATAAGATTTACTTTGAAGAGGTTTTCTTAGTGTCAGACTTTTAGAAATTAAGGTTTCCCCCACTAAAGCAAGGGCTTTCAAGTTCTCATGCGAGGGTGCATGGTCTGCTTTCTCTGACTTTTCTGTCCACTCAGAGCACTTTTCTGCCTCCCCTTTTTACCTTTTGCTCCTGACTCTCATCTTTTTTTTTTTTTTTTTTTTTTTTTTTAAGATTTATTTTTATTTTTTCATTTATTTTGGTCTTTATGAGACAAGGTCTCTGTGTAGCCCCAGCTAGCTTGTAACTCATATTTAGAGAAGGCTGGCCTTGCACTCACAGAGATCCGCCTGTCTCTGACACCTGAGTCCTGGGATTAAAGGCACACACTACCACACCCAGCGTTAAGATTTATTTTTATTTTACAGTGTATGAGTGTTTTGTCTATATGTATTTAAGTGCACCTATGTCTTGCAGTATGCCCATGGAGGCCAGAAGAGGGCATCAAATCCCTTGGAACTGGAATTCTAGATGGTTGTTAGCTGGGTGGGTACTGGGACCAAACCCTGGCCCTCTGCAAGAACAGCCAGTGCTTTCAACCTCTGAACCATCTCTCCAGCCCCTCTTCTCATCCTTTTAATTAAACTTGGATCAGATTTGTTTCACCTATGAATTCATAGGACCACTCCATGTCCATTGGTAGAGAAAAGAAAAAGAATTTAGGTGAGTTCATAGTGTTCTGGTTTAGGCAAGAATTGTTCTATACCTTGCATTTTAAGTTATTTTTTCCAGTGAGATGAATTTGGTAATAGTTTGGCAAAGTATGCTGAGATGTGAAACTGAAGAATCCAGGCATCAGGGTTGGGAAGATATTTTTCTACCCTATATCAGGCAGGAAGGGCTGAGAGGAAACCTAGATGTGATGTGATGAGAAAGCTCATTTTGTTTGAGTGGTTGGCTGCTTCTCTGAAGGCTAGCTGAATAACATACTCCTTTCCCTTTGGCCATTCCAGAAAGAATCAACCTGTCAATTCTTCTTTGATTTAAATGAAAAGCAGGGAAGGAAGCGTTCATCTACGGGCAGAGATAGCAAGCCTCCTCACACCAAGCAGCCACGCAAACCTCGTAAGTACCACGGTTCCAGAGGTCCCCTTTGTGAGCAGCTCTTATTTGAGGTTTGTTTGGAAAGTGGCATTGCTAAGAGAGCATTTTCCAGCAATGAAAAATTGTATGGAGTCATTAGGCGCCAAGTGGATATAGAACGGTATAAAAATGGCCTGACTTGGCTGTTTGAGACTCTTCTATGAGAACTATAGAAGAAGCTCCTTTCCTTTGTCTTTGTAAAACGTGATAAAGAGTGCGAAACCAATGTACATTGATAAAATGATACAACTCAAACTGAGGGGAAGAACTTTCAGGCTGTTTCATTGAGATCTTCTTTCTCTACCTTCATTTCAAAGATGAATTTGGCTACCCAACACCTCAGTTCAGTGTTTGCTCGTGGTAGCCTGTGGCCACTTGCATGTTACTTCAGTCAATATGTGATGATCTATTTGTGACTCACGTGTGACTTGGTTATCAATTCAGAACTCTTCTAGTAGAGGTTTAGTTTCGTTGAAAATGGTGCCAGGGTGTGGGAGAGTCATAATGAGGAACACAAGTCCAGCCCATTGTGGCAGTGCTATATATATATAGTGTCATTACAGTGTACATATAGATCAGGTAATGATAAATTCTCTTAGAAAAATAGTTTTTTTATTTGGAGCTGGAGAGATGGCTCAAAGCACTTGCTGCTCTTGCAGAGGGCCTAGGTTCTATTCCCAGCACCCAACATAGCAGCTCTGTCACCCTCTTCTGGCTTCCAGAAGGACTAAACACACACACACGCACATGCACCCACACGCACAAAACACACCCCCAGATATACATACATACAGGCAAACAAGAGTTGTAGAAATAAAAATAAATCTTTTTTAAAAAGAGTATATACTATTGCAGAGAACCCAAGTTTGATTCCCAGCACCCACATTGGGTGGCTCACAACCATTTGTAACTGTCGTTCCAGGGAAATCCGGTGCTTCTGGCCTCTGCAGACACCTATACTTATTTGCACGTAACCATACACAGTCACACACCCATACATAAAATTAAAAATAAAATTAGGGCCAGGCATAGTGGTGCATGCTTTTAATCCCAGTACTTGGGAGGTTTGTAGAGGCAGGGGCAGGTAGATCTCTGGGAGTTCAAAGCCAGCCCAGTCTACATAGTGAGTTCCAGGCTGGCTGGGGCTACATAGTAGACCTTGTCTCAGAAAAAAAAGGCCTGCTATGGTGGTACATGCCTTTAGTCCCAACACAACAATCAGGAGGTAGAGGCAGGCAGATCTCTGTGAAAGCAAGGCCAGCCTGGTCTACGTCGCAATTTCTAGGCCAGCTGTGGCTATAGGGAGACCCTGTCTCAAACCAAAAAGAAAAAAATTGTTTTGTTATGGGTACATGCATGTCATGGTGTGCATGCAAGTGAGGTCAGAGGACAACTTTCAGAGTTAGTTCTTACTTGGTAAGCACTTTAACCTGCCGAGCCATCTCACCATTTCCAAGGATGAATTCTATAGGGGTTAATTATATTCTGTTGTGATTGGACCATAATAAATAACTTGGCTTTCTTTTTTATGAAGCTCAGCCTCCAGGACCGTGTTGGTTTTGCCTTGCCAGCCCTGAAGTGGAAAAGCATTTGGTGGTCAACATTGGCACACATGTGAGTTACGTCCATAGATGCATGGCAGAGAAGGAAATACCTATTATTTGGTTTATACCAACTTTACTAAGTTTGCTAATGAGCTACATAGTAAGTTTACCCTTTTTTGAGACTGGGTATCCTTGTGGCCCCAGCTGTCCTAGAACTCACTATGTAGACCAGGCTGGCCTCAAACTCACAAAGATCTGCCTGCCTCTGCCTCCCAAGTGCTGGAATTAAAGGCATGCACCACCACGCCTGGCAAGTTCACCCATTTTTAAGTATATAGTTCATGAATTTATAGTGAGTTTACTGAATTATGCATAATAGTTTTAAAACATTTCCATCCCTGCATGTATGTAGGTGCACCTGTGTGGTGTAGTGCCTGTGGAGGCCAGAAGAGGGCATTGGATCCCCTAGAACTGGAGTTACAGATGATTGTTAGCCACCTTATATAAAGTTTGCTGATGGCATAGCTACAAATTGGTAAAAAGGGAGAAAGCCTGCTGAGTCCAGAAAAACTAAGCAAAGTCCATGTGTCTTATTTAAGGGAGAAACATTCATGTAGGTACTATTTATACATTTTAGATATATCAAGTATAGGACAGGTTAGCGTTTGAAAGGACAAGAACAGATTGGGAAAGTGGGAAACCATTCACAAGAACTTGAAGTATTGCATTAGAGGTAGGAGCAGCTACTTAGTCTAGACTTTAGTATCTAAAGGATGTAGATCAGAATAGAAGAGCTGGTGTTTATGGCAGTGACCTATGACATGAAGAAAAGGCTAGACAGCTCAAGCTTCTAGAGTAACCTTTTAAAACAAATGCAATAAAAAGTGTACCCAGATGGTGGCTAACAACCGTCTGTAACTCCAGTTCCAGGGAATCCAGTGCCTTCTTCTGACCTCCTCGGGCATTGCATGGCACTGGGTACACTTACAGTCATACACATAAAATGCAGGTAATACATTCATACACATAAAAATAACAACAAAAAAATTTTTTTAAGTGGGAATTATAAAAATTAAAACTTTGGGGCTGGAGAGATGGCTCAGGGGTTAAGAACACACACTGTTCTTGCAGAGGACCCAAGTTTTGTTCCTAGCATCCATATCAGGCAGCTTCCAGCCATCTGTAACTCCAGTTCCAGAGGAATCCAGCACCTTTGGCCTCTGTGGGCACCTACATTGTGGCCATGTCCTCCTGCACCCCCCCCCCCACATATACACACATAATTAAAAATAAAGTGTTTTGGTGGTGGTAGTGTTTTTTTTTGTTTTTTGTTTTTGTCTTTTTGAGACAGGGTCTCCTTGCAGCTCCAGCTGGCCTAGAACTCACAGAGATCTACCATCTTCTGCTGAGACTAAAGGCATGTACCACTATGCCCTGCCTAAAAAGAAAATGTTTAAAGAAATTAAAAGAATACCTCCAAGGATTTGAGGAGGGTGTATTTTGTTTTGGAGGGATGAGGTGCCCCTATGAGAGCCTCCTGAATAGCTGGGAATTACAGGTTTGTATCACTATGCCCTGCTCCAGAGTTTTTTTGGGGTTTTTTTTGAAATTTATTATTATTTATTTAATGTGTATGAGTGTATTGCCTGCATGTATGTAAGTGCACTCATGTTGTGTAGTGTCTGCAGAGGTCAGAAGAGGGCATTTGGATCCCCTGGAACTAGAGTTATAGACAGTTAGTTAGCTGCTGTGTGGGTGCTGGGAACTGAACTCAGATCCTCTGTAAGAGCAATCAGTGCTCTTAACTCCTGAGTCATCCAGTCCCTCCTATAAGGTTTTGATGAACTTTTGTCACCTGGAAAATTAATTTTGTGAATATGTTTAGTTTTCTGCCACATAAATCAAGGATGAGTATACTTTTTTGTTTGTATTAAGGAGTCTGTCACTAGACTTTTATCATTCAGCCGTAGCTTTGGACCCACCACACTAAACGTATACTTTAAATTAGTTCTTATAAGTACTCGTAAGCCTGTATTGATGCTCACTGGCCCTTTGCTCACTCAAAGTGTCTTCCTTAAAAAAAAAAAGTCCATTTGTACGTTCCTGTGGGCTTTGATGATTTTGGTTTGTTTTTGTGGTTTTTGAGACAGGATCTCATAGCCCAGCCTGGCCTTGAACTTGTTATGTAGCTGTGGTTAGACTAACTTTCTACCTCCCAAGTGCTGGGATTATAGGCATATGCCATCTTTCTTAGCTTATGTTTTTCTTTAATTTTGTTTAAGATTTATTTTTATTTTATGAGTTTTACCTGCATGTATGTAAATGTACCATGTGCATGCAATGCCATGGAGATGAGAAGAGGGTATCGGATCCCCTGGACCTGGAATTATAGATAGTTGTCAGTCATCATGTGGGTCCTGGAAACCCAGCCCTGGTCCTCTGCAAGAATAGCCAGTGCTCTTAACCACTGAGCCACATCTCTAGCCCCCATGTTTCTGGTTTTAAGATTTATTTTATTTTCTTTTATATGTATGTGTGTGCACATGTGTGCCTGATGAGGCCAGAAGAAGACATTGGATCTCCTGGAGCTGGAGTACAGGCAGTTGTTAACTGCCAGGCATGGATGCTAAGAACTGAACTCAGGTCCTCTGTAAGAACAGCAAGTGTTCCTAATGACTGAGCCATCCCTCCAGCACCTTGGTTTTGACAGTATTTTTAGTTGCTATTAAAGATTGACAGTCATTGTTGAAAACCATAGTTTTTTGCCTCTGGATATATCTGAGCTTGAAGTTTCTTCTTCCCCTAAATTAAGCTGTATGGCTTCTTTTCACTTTGTATGATTTAGTCAGCACCTTACAGCTATAAGAACTCAAAGCTAATTTTGCTCCAGCTTTTTTGTGAACCCAGAGGTGTACTTAGGGGTAGAGATGTTGGATTGGATGTTACTAGGAGGAAGTAAGTGCTCATTTTGAAACAAGAATGGTATCTTTCTGTGGTTGAAGAGAGTGATAGTAACTGTCCTGGTTTGTTCTTCATTGCTGTGACAAAACACTCTGACCACTACCAACTTGGGGAGGAAAGGGTTTATTTAGCTTACAACTCCCAGGTTGCAGTTCATCAGGGAGCCCAAGGTAGGAACTCAGGGTAAGAACCTGGAAGCAGAAACTGGAGCACAGGCCATGGAGGAATGCTGCTTACTGGTTTGCTCCCCTGGCCCCTGCTCAGCTTGCTCTCTTATCCAACACAGGCCCACCTGCCCAGGGGTGGCACTACCCACAGTGGGCTGGGCCCTCCCACATCACTCAACAATCAAGAAGATGCCCCTCAGACATGGCCACAGGCCAGTCCAATGGAGTCAATTCCCCAGTTGAGGCTCCCTCAACCCAGGTGTGTCAAGTTGACACTAAAGCTATCCAGCACAGTAACCAAAAATTATTCTCAGTTTTGGATCCAAGGAAGGATGCACCAAATGGTCATTGTTCTGGTCTCTTTCAGCTTTGGCGTTTGAAGCCACAAGCCGCCTTGTGTGCTTCCAGTTCATTTGATAGTTGTGTGGAAATTTGGTATACCTGATCTCATTTTTCAGAACATGCTTAATGAAGTTGCTATTCTAACCTTTAATCAAATCTTAATATATAAGAATTTCTGTTAAGAACATCTTGGGTTGGGCACAATGGTATAGGCCTGTAATCTTAGCCTTTAGGATGCTAAAGCAGGAGGATTGTGAGTTTGAGCCTGGCCTGGGCAACACAGAAAGACCTTGTCTCAGAAAGAAAATCCTCGTGTACCGTCAGCGCATCCTGTGTGTAGAGGTTTTTCTCTAGGAAAAGTCATACACACACACATGTATAGTCTTGCTGTCTTGACTCTGATTCTTCTGCAGTGCTATCTTGCCTTGGCCAAAGGAGGCTTATCTGGGGACCATGTCCTTATCCTGCCCATTGGACACTACCAATCAGTTGTGGAGCTTTCAGCAGAGGTGGTGGAAGAGGTCGAGAAGTATAAGGCCACCCTGAAACGCTTCTTTAAGAGTCGAGGGAAACGCTGTGTTCTATTTGAAAGAAATTATAGGAGCCATCACCTCCAGCTTCAGGTGGGTGTTTTTCTGCCCAGAAACATGGAAGGCGCTGTGGGGACTTGAGATTGATAAATAAATGTTTGAACAGTTACTGACTTACACATTTAGTTTTGATTTGATATTTAAAGTATTTAATGATCTTCATAATGATATTAAATAATGTTCATGTAAAAGACAAAGGGTGTATTCTGTTAATCCAGTGATTCCATAGGGAACGACTTAGTGGTGATAAGCGAATGGCAGGATGGTGTGTGCTTTGTTTAGAAAATGAGTGAATAGTTGAGAAAGTTTCCAAGGCAGATGAAGACATGGGCTGTGATAGGGAAGACGGGAGTATTTTGCATGGAAGCCCAGCATGAATGAAGGTTTAAAAGTAGGAAGTAGTCTTCTAGCTAGCATGGGGCTAGTAGCTTGGAAATTCTATGATTATGGGTGATTTGTTTATTGTTGTGGTAGCTTCTTTCTGGTGCATTTGTTAAGTTTTCAAATGAGCCTGATTCTGCCACATACATTATGTAGGAGCTGGCAGAGGCTTAAAGACGAAGTGGTTTCTCTTGAGCTTGTCCTCAGATTGGCTCCCATATGTGGAAGGCTATCTCATAAGTTTAAGTCCTATAGACAGGCTGATGGAAGCTGATTGTCCTGAGGAGACTTTCTGCTGAGGGGTGTTTCTTTACCCCTGTGATGGATTTGCTCTTTCTCAGAGACTGTAAAGGCATAACCTCTTTAGGACCAGTACAAAGACTTTCTCCTATTCCCCCCAACCCCACCCAGGTCATTCCTGTTCCACTCAGCTGCTGTGCTACAGATGACATTAAAGATGCCTTCATTTCCCAGGCACAGGAGCAGCAGATAGAGCTGTTGGAAATTCCAGAGCACTCAGACATCAAGCAGGTGAAACAGAAGGAGGTCGTGATGTTCAGGGAGGAGTCAAAATCTGTGGGTCTTTTGTTTTTTGAGACAGGGTTTCACTGTGTAGCTCTGACTGGCCTGAACTTGCTATGTAGACCAGGCTGGCCTTGAACTCACGGGGATCCACCTACCAAAAACTGGTTTTTGACATGTTGAGACTGAGGCACTGTCAAGCCATTCCAAAAATTCTAAACAGTAGATGGTTTAGTTCTAGAATATAAGATGCTGGTTAGAGAAGAAGGCATTTTTACCACAAAGTCTTAGTGCTTCCCTGGGAAGAATAAGAAATTAGACATATCTTAGGGCCTGGGAGATGGCTCAGTGGAGACTTGAGTTTGATCTCTAGCACCCATGTATTTCAGTGCTGAGGAGGTAGAGATGGGAGGATTCCTGGGACTCTTGGGCCAGCTGGTCTAGTCAAACCAGAGACCTCTAGGTTCAGTGAGAGACCCTATCTCAAAACATAAGGTGGAGAGCAATTGAGGACATCCAACATTGTTCTGGCCTTCACACACATGGATACACATGCATGTGTAAACACATTCACAGGAACACACACACATACACAAAAATAAGAGGAAAAAAAAGAAATTAGACACTAAGGTAGGAACATAATAGGATGGGTCCCACTGGGAGAAGATTGGACTTTAAACCTCTAGTCCTGTCAAGCAGTTTGGAATCTATACCATCTCACATATCTTTTTTCTTATACTTCTAGAGTGAATTTTTGCTAAATTAGAGTTTACAAAAATGACCTAGGGCTTTAAGTTTCAAAGTTCTGTTGCGTATCCTCATCTAATTCTGTTTCTTTAGATTGTGCAGCCAGGGACAGCGTATTTTTATGTTGAACTTGACACAGGAGAAAAGCTCTTCCACAGAATTAAAAAGAATTTCCCTTTGCAATTTGGAAGGTTTGTATTTTTTCATTCTATTCAATATATTTTCACTAGTTGTACTATTTAAAAGGTGATGGGAGCACTTGGGAGGCAGAGGCAGGTGGATCTCTGTGAGTTCAAGGCCAGCCTAGTCTACATAGTGAGTTCCAGGACAGCTGGGGTTACAGGGAGACCCTGTCTCAAAAAGACCAAAAAAAAAAAAAAAAAAATGGTGAAGGGTTTCTTTGACAGTCAATAAAAAGCCAAATAGAATATAGTCTGTGCCTAAGACGCTTATAGTTTTAGGGCAGATCATGGTTATAGCCATGTGATGCAGAGCTTGAACAGTATATGACTTAATTTTGAGGATCATTATACTTTAGGGCTCATTTTTACTTAATGTACAGCTTCATGAAAGGGTTGAAAGACTGGGGTGAGGGCATTCCTGCCAGAAGTAAAGTACTACTGTTGAGCATATGCTGGGCCAGACACTGTGCCAAAAACTTTATATGCATTGCTTCATTTAACTTTCACAGCTCTATTTGGTATACACTGTCAATGTGGAGAATTATGCTCTAGAGCAGTGCCCAAAAGAATTGTGTACACAGATGAAAATGCTTTATAAATCTGCATTACTATAATAATCACTGGTTGCATACAGCTGTTGGACACTTGAAAATGGAACTGAGGGGTTGATGAGATGCCTGTGTAGGTAAGGGTGCTTGCTACCAAACTTGATGACTTGAGTTTGATCCCTGGGACCCACATGGTAGAAGGAGAGAACTGACCCCCACAAATTATTGTCTGACCACACAGGTGCCATGGCATGCATGTAACCCCCAGACATACACAAATATAATAAGAAAATGGGACTGAAAAACTGAATTTTTAATTTTATATAATTAGAACTTAAATTTCAATAGTCAAATCTGGCTAGTAGTGTGGCTTATGGGTTAAGTAGCATGCCATGGTTACACAGTGGTAGGTTCAAACCATAGTCTGGTGAAACCCAAGATGAAAGGTCTTCAACCTCATTATTCTGTAGTATTCTAAAAGCCTGGATGAGGCTTCTCTTCTGCCTCTTATATAAGACAGAATATGACTGCAAGACCATACAAGGACCATAAGTTAGTCAAAGATTAAAGACAGGAAGTTGCAACAGTGTGACAGGAAGTAGAAAATGTACATAGTGGGTTATCTGATTGTGGTCTCTGATTTGCAGGTGTTTACCCTCTCCTTCAGTGGTTAGAACTATGCTTTAAATGAGCCCTGAACTATTCTTAGACAATTTGGAAAGCCTCTAAGAGAGTGCCCCATTGATAAGTCCATCAAATATAGTTGTTTACATTTTCAACAAGATAATTGATAAATGAGAATAAGAATGTTATATGTGGGGCTGGAGAGATGGCTCAGTGATTAAGAGCACTGACTGCTCTTGAAGATCCAAGTTCAAATCCCAGCACCCACATGGTGGCTAACAACCGTCCTTATCTCCAGTTCCAGGGTATCCTATACCCGCTTCTGTCCTCTGAGGGCATTGCACGACAGAGGTGTACTTCCATACATGCAGGCATAACACCCATACACATAAAATAAGACAATTTTTTTTAAAAAAAAGCATGTTATATGCTTCAAACATCTGACTTTATTTTTTGTTGTTGCCTTTACAACAGATGTAGATATACATCTCATATATATTGAGGACATAGGCATGAGATTGCCAACACACACAGGCATGTAAAGCCTACCAAGTGGTTTTATGATCATCATGATAATTATATTTTCAACATTTTTTCAAAATACTAAGGTATAGTTGATACATTTTATATTTAATAGGAATATATGAAGAAACAAGCTCAAGGTTTTCCTGGCAAGTTAAAATTTGAACTTAGGTCCTTTGACTTTTAGAGGACTAATGTAATAGATTTCCAACTTCCTTATTTATTTTACTGTCATAGTTGAACCAAATAATTATTTCTAATACATCAAAATAAGTAAAAATAAAAATGCAAACAAATAGACATTGTTGGGTATGTATCAATACGTATTCTTTATTTCTGAGAGCCAAAATAAGTTTTCTTCACATTGAGCTTCTCTTAGTGTATCTGTACAGATGAGAGACCCCTGGAAGGACAGACAGGGGAGTTTTAAGTCAGAGTGGATATGACAGATGACTCTGCACATGCCCTCAGCCAACTCTTGGTCCAACAGGAATCACTTTAAGGCAGGATATAGTCACATACAGGAAGGTGCTCTGATAGTATTACCTCTGTTCTTTACCAAATCCTTACTTGCATTTCATAAGTGAGGAATCAAGCTTAAAGATGGAGTAATATACAAGTCATAGACGGCAAATAGCAGAGCTAGGAATGGAATTCACTCTGATTTTTCTAATACCAGGGCCTGTCCTCTGTCTTGTATGTGGTGCTCCTTCCTAAGTACTAAGATTGTGGTTCCAAGTTGTTCCAGGAAAGGACAAGTAAATGGGGTGGAAGAGGTCACTTAATATGGTATGATTTCTATGGATAGGATGACAGAGATGTCACTCAGGACAGGAGAGCAGTATGTGCAGTCAGAAATCTATATGTTGCTTTAGATGATATTGAAAGCAGTGGCTAGAGAGGAGCAAAGGAAAGGGTAGGGTTTGAGTGCATGCTCCCCATTTTCACTTCTCTATACTCTTTCTGCAGGGAAGTACTAGCCAGTGAAGCCATTCTCAATATTCCTGAAAAGGCTGACTGGAGGCAGTGTCAGATCAGTAAGGAAGAGGAGGAGACCCTAGCTCGCCACTTCCGCAAAGACTTTGAACCCTTTGACTTCACTCTGGATGACTAAGCAAAGAGAAGTAAGGACACTAAGAACTTCACAGGCAATCCTTCCAGCCTGGTTTTTAAAGTGAAACTACATTTCCCATGGGGAGCTTCCCTGCCTCCTTTCCTGTATTCCCATGGAACCTGCTGGTAGCAAGAGGCCTAGGACTGAATATTTTTTGAGAAGTCATTTCGAAGATGAAAATTACATGTTAAAAGAAAAGATACCACTGGGAGTGGTGGTGCATGCCTTTAATCCCAGCACTCAGGAGGCAGAGGCAGGCAGATCTCTGAGTTCAAGGCCAGCCTGATCTACATAGTGAGTTCCAGACCAGCTGAGGCTACAGGGAGACCCTGTCTCAAAAAAAAAAAAAAAGAAAAAGAAAAAGAATGGATATCTACACATATATAAGGACAGCTATGTTTGTCTACATCTTCACAAACTTAAACTGTTGAAGCTGGGTGTGGTGTCTCATGCCTGTAGTCCCAGAATTTGAGGGGTTGAGGCAGGTGGCTTGCCATGAGTTCTAAGCCAGTCTGAGCTATGGCCGACGCCCCCCCGCCCTGCCCAAGAAAACCAAAAATAGCCTCCAAACCCTGTAAACTCAAATAAAACCTGATTGCTTTTATATAGTTGATAAGTGTCTTAAATCATGTTGTCTATGACCATTGAAATAAAACTGTGTGTGTAACAGAGACCAGAGCTTTAGGCCCAGCTATGATCCCAGAATCACACAGGGTAGTTTCTCCCAGAATAGTCCATGGTAGAGAAGACACCTGTGGCCTTTGCTATATTCTCCCAGAGCATCATCCTATTCACACAAGAGTCCATGCAGTCTTTTAGGTATTTAAATCCAGCGTGCTGGGCATTTTTCTTAGGTTCCAAGAGTATAGCCAATGCCCCAACATGGTGCCTGTTGTTCCAGACTATACAGTCTAATTGGGAAAGGGAGTAGGCTGATTCAAGACAAGAAGATGAATTTTGCTTTGAATGAATTATTATAGATGCTTAAGATAGTTAAGTAGGGGCTGAGGAGATGACTTAGCAGTAAGAGTGTGCATTGCTCTTATAGAGGATCTGAGTTCAGTTCCCATTACCCATGTCAGAACTCAAACTACCTGTAACTCCAGCTCCAGGGGAATCTGATGCCTCTAGCCTTCACAGGCACATGTATTCATGTGCACATATATACACATAATTTTTTTTAAAAAGATAGCTGAATTTAATAGATATATGCAGAGTGCTGTTAGATAATTTTAAACCTCATGCAGCTCTGGGCTGGTGATGGACCTTTAGGGATTATGGGGGTATAGACCACAAGTGAAATTGTGGAATGGAGGAAAACAAGATAGGGCAGATACATTCCCAAGGTAAAGATGACCTTGATTTAATAAATGCTTGGAAATAGTGATCCAACAAAGCACGTGGAAGAGCAGTGTGACAGGAGATTCTGGGCCTTTGAAGCCAAATGAGAAATGATTGCTCTTAAAGAGTGGGCACTTACCCAGGCACAGTTTCACTTAATTCTCATAAAATTTCTGTACAGTATTTCATTTTGCATGTGGAAAAAAAAATTTTTAAAAACAGTTTTGGAGACTCATTATTGTGGAGCATGGGATCAATCATTCCAGAATTAAAACCAAAACCAAAACCCCCAAACCTTGAGCTATGCAGTGTTCTAAGAACTGGAATGTTTAAAAAGTGAACTCATTGTATACAGGAAGCAACTTAGTTGGCCCAATCAACTGGGGTTTTCACTAACTTCTGAGAATTATGACTACATCTTACCTGTAGAAACTGGACATCCACTAGCACTACTAACTCTGTTGTACACACAGAAAATGAGGTTTTATACTATTTTATGACAATCCTCTACACTCTACTTAGCTCTAAGGGTTGTGTACTCAGAGGCTCATTTGCTATTACCTCCAAGTCTGATATTTCAATTCCATGGGAACCTTTAAAATTCTGGAAATTAACTTCTTTCATACCACATGTTATCTGTGCCGACAACATTGACCTGCTAGGTATCACAATGCTCAACCTTGGTTGCATTGATATTTGAGAATTTGATTCCGTACTGATTCTTATCATGAGTTATTAGCTTCCCTAGGTTCAGCCCATCCTGATGGCACAGTCCTGTAATCCTGGTGAGGTGGAGGAAAAGCAAGTTCAAGGCCAGCCTGCTCTACAAGAGAATCTGCCTCAAAACAAAAACACCTATGTTCCATAAAGCCTGAAGCGGATTCAGCCCATCCTGATGGCACAGTCCTGTAATCCCAGTCCTGGTGAGGTGGAGGAAAAGCAAGTTCAAGGCCAGCCTGCTCTACAAGAGAATCTGCCTCAAAACAAAAACACCTATGTTCCATAAAACCTGAAGCAGATAAGCCACTCAATCGGAAAAGTGGGTGCCACTTTCCCTATGCAGTTCACCATTCAGAATCATGTCTGGTTACATCAGCAGCAGCCCCCAAGTTTATCTTTGCAGCCTTGCAGAACACCCCAGAAACAATTCCCACAACGAGGAATAACTGGGCTGGGAATCCTAAAATGGCTACTTGATTAGCAAGATCTATAAGGTATGTAGGGAAGCTCACAAATTACAGAATATTTTTCACGCCAGAATGACGTTACATCTGAGTTCTTTACAGGGGGTGGGCATTTAAAACAGGTGTATAGGAAATCATAGTGAACTTTGAAGGTTAATGAATCAACAGGCCAGTTGGTTTAGGATTCCTTCGAATTCTTTCGATTCCGAATGATTATGTGGCCTTTCCCAGTGCAGGGTCAGCCGGCAGTAAGGTTTGAGGACTGATGGCACGGCTCTGAAAAACGATGAAATGTAGAGGGAGTGGGTACAGCGAAGTTTAGCAAAGCATGCGAAAGAGACTGGTTTGCAATGTTATCTGAAGTGGAAGTAGGGTTTGGAAAGAGATCTTATTTTAAAAGAAAAAAAAACCCACACACAGAGATCTTATTTTAAAAGAAACACAACACACGGCTTACCAGGCATTTAAAAAGGTACAGAGCATTGCGCCTGTCCCCAGCCCAGGAAAACACACACACACACACACACACCATACACACACCATACACACAGAGCATTAAGAAAGGTATAGAGCATTGCGCGTTTCCCCAGACACACACACACACACACACACAACCATACACACAGAACACACAGAGCATTAAACTCTTCCCCAGCCCGGTACCTACTGGGTGGGATCCCCGCGCAGCTGGAGAGCGGGGCGGAGCTTCTGCGGGGTGGGGGGAGGGGTCGCCGGAAGTAACGTGAGTCTCGCGAGAAGAAAGACGCGCGAGCCTTGGCGGCCCGGAACCGGCCTTGGACCCGAGGCGACCCTGAGGCCGCTCGCCCTCCCGCCCCATGGAGCGGCCCCCCGGTCTGCGGCCGGGTGCGGCCGGGCCCTGGGAGATGCGGGAGCGGCTCGGCACCGGCGGCTTCGGGAACGTCTGTCTGTACCAGCACCGGGTGAGGCGGGGCGCGCGAGCTGCGGCAGCGGAGCTGTCGGGGCGCCGGGCTGTCACGGAGGGAGAAGGGGTTGCGCGCCCGGGATGCGCGGTGGGCTGGAGGCGAATGCGGGAACCTTGCTGCAGAGTGGGGTAGCCCATCCCGGCCGTGTCTCGGGCGGTGGTGACTCCGCTGTTCGGTAGGGGCGAGGGTGAGGATTGACCAGCTGGTTGGTGTGACGCCGAGAGTGTGGATGCAGAGTGTCAGTGTGCGCGCGAGTGAGCCCGAGCGGGTGAGAAGATGTGGCTGAAGGAGTGCGTGTCCCCGAGTGATCGGTGGAGATGACTAAACGAGGTCCTTCTCCACGCTGAGTCCAGGTTTTGGAAACATTGCCCGACTTTGGAACTGGTGCATTCTAGCCAGGAAACGAACGCTGTGAAGCGAGGTGGTGAAAGTGATCCTTGCTTCCAAGCGAAAGAGGTAGCCTGCAAGTTCAGGGGCTTTGTTCTGTGGAAGACAGCTAGCTAACGTTAGACTTGGGAAGTCCGCTTTGATTTAATTAAAAATTTAACCATCGTAACAGCAAATAGGTTTTTAAAAGATTTTTAACCAGTGATCACTTTGTTTATTTTAATTTATTGTTATTATTATTTGTGGTGCAAGAGATGGAACATAGAGCCTTACACATGCTAGGCAATGGTCTAGCACTAAGTTACGGGTCCTCAGCCCCAGTTAATCATGTTTGAGTCATGTGTCTTTTGCTATAAATATTCAGAGGGGACACGCATCCACTAACCATGTACAGGTTTTTTTTTTTTTTCTTTTTCATGTCATTATTAATTACTTCCTAACTTGAGCAAGATATTGTAGTATTTACATGGCATTTGTATTAAGATTACAAGTAATGAGATGATTAGAGAGGAGAGGCTGTGTGTAGGTTATGTGTAAATTCTGTGCTATTTGATGTAATGAACGTGAGCTTCTTCAGATTTTAGTATGCTCTGGAGGTCCTGGACCAGTCCTCTGCATGCTGAGGGATAACTTTACTATGTTCAGATACATTGTGTACATGCTGTATATAACATTCCTTTGCCTGGAGAGTCATAATCCAAATTAGAAATCCAGTGAAAAACCTCCAAAGAAATAGAGACACCAATATTTTCTAACTTTTTATTTTGAAATATATATCATATATTGTGTTAAGTATATTTATGTTGTTGTACTACAGTCACTGCTGTTCATTTCCAGAATGTTCTGGGGTAGTGTGTGTATGTGTATCTCACTGTGTTACCCAGACTGGCCTTGAACTCATGATGTTCCTCTCAGCCTTCCAAATAGGCAAAGTTACCACACCCAGCTTGTTCTGATTTTTAAAAACAGATCTTTTGTTGTTAGACATCTATCAACGTTCAAGAAAATACTCTCACTGTGTGAAAAGATTGAGTTTTACAGAGTAGGTGAAATATAAATCAAGGAGTTTTGAAGGATATCTTGGGGTGGAATCTTAATGAAATAGATAACTTCCTGTCTCATATCAGAATTTAAGGGCTTAATGTTAAACGTTGAAAGGAGTGGGCTGGAGAGATGGCTCAGCGGTTAAGAGCACTGATTGTTCTTCCAGAGGACCCAAGTTCTAGTCCCAGCACCCACATGGGCGTTCACAACTGTCTGTAACTCCAGTTCCAGGGGATCCGACACCCTCTTCTGACATCTGCAGGCATTGCGTGCCATGGGTACACTTAGCAACATGCAGGCAATACACTTATACACATAAAAATTTTTAAATAAATAAAATTTTTTAAAACGTTGAAAAGAGTGAGTATTGTGATTAGGCTGGCCTGAATTCTGTATTATTTTCTTTTTTCTCTATACATTTTAAACTGTCTTGCTTTAGCCTCTTTCCTCTTCTGATCCCTACTTGAGATTATCCCATCTGAGCTGTTTTGCCCCCACCTTTTTTCCCTTTCAGCTGTTGGGTACTGCTCTCCCTGTTCACATGCAGCTCTTACCACACCTCTCTGTCAGAGATGACACATTTTGGAAGCTCTTCGGAGCTTTTCTCATTTGCAAACATAGTATATAGCCTGTTTGGTTCTGACTTCATTATTAGTGTTGTCTAAATATGATGAAGTCTAGCCATTTCCTGTAATATGCATAGGATAGTTTTAATTTCAGTCAGAATTGGCAAAGTTACAAGTCATAAGCAATAAGTTTTGGGTTATTTTATAGATACACAAACAGAAGTACGATCCTTTGGAGTTTCCCCGTGTCATTTGAAATCTAAAGAGTAAGATAGAATTTTGGAGGGCTTTTTTCTTTTTTTGCATTAGACTTAGTCATATCAAAACTATTCCTTGCTGAGGAAAGAGGGAACCCTGAGTTTTCCTCCTCATTCTGACTATGCTAGAGTTTGGGGTCCTTGTTTGTCGTGTTGACTAAGCTTGGAGAAGGGGCTTGTTGGGGAGATGGGATCTAATGATGGCTCGAGAGAGCTGTGGATAACATTTAATTAGTAAATCTAAAAAGACTTTCCCTGGGTTCACATTTCTTGATTGTAAAGTAAATCTGCACAAGAGCCTAATTTATTTATATTTATTAATTTTCTATTTTGACAGGAGCTTGATCTCAAAATAGCAATTAAATCTTGTCGCCTAGAGCTAAGTACCAAAAATAGAGAACGATGGTGCCATGAAATCCAGATCATGAAGAAGTAAGTGTTCTTGATAACTTAGATGTCTTTAGTCCTACAGCCAACTGTTAATCATACGGAAAGAGGCCAGGGATCCACTCTTGTCAAGATCTTTTGGATACACAATTTTGTCATTAGTGTATGTGTTGCACATCAGATAATAACATCACATTTTGGTTAAGAAAGTGACTGGGCATGGTGGCACCGCCTTTAATCCCAGCACTCTGGATGCAGAGGCAGGCAGATCTCTGTGAGTTTGAGGCCAGCCTGGTATCCATAGCGAATCCAGGCTAGCTGTGCCTACAGGGAGACCCTGACTCAAAAAGACCAAACAACAAAAAAAGAAAGTTTAGCTTAAAAATTAGCTAGGTGTATCTGAATCTTTCTTCTGGATATTGGACAATTTTATGACTAGTATGTAAGTTCTTCTCATTTCTCTTGTACTTACTTTCATTAAGTGTGTGTTTGTTGCTTTGTAAACAATTACCCCAAAATTTAGTAGCTTAAAACTGTAAATATTTAGTGTCTGTAGTTTCTGTGGCTTAGGAATTTGGGACTGAGTTAACTCTGTGGTTCTAGCTCAAGGCCTTTTTGGAGACATCTTAAAATGTTGACTAGAGCTCATTTATGTGTAGGCCTAACTAAGGCTAGAGTATTCACTTCTAGGCTTACTAAAGGAGTCTCTCCATAAGGAAGTGCAAATGGCTTAAGGGCATGGCAGCTCACTTCCCCAGAACAGTGATTTGTATCAGAGCAAAAAAGCTGATACATCTCCTAAGCGATTTCCTTAGAAGTCAAATTTCATTCTTTCCACCGAATTGTGTTAGAAATGAGTCACTAAGTCTAACATATGTACTTAAAGAGAATAGAATTAAACCTTTGAAGAGACAAATGGATAACATCAGCAGGTAGTGTCTTCCAGGAGTAGTGTGCTTTAGCTCATCCTGTAGTTGGTATCAAAACTATGTATTCAGGTGTTGCTCTTTCTGTAGATGAGAAAATGGAAGCTCACATGGTCAGCTGGTACTGGATTTGAGATGAGCATTTTCTGACTTTAGCTTTGTGCTCAACTCATTTTTTGGTTCTTAAACTTGGCTAAATGGTAGAATCACCAGGAAAACTTAATAATATAAATTCTCAGACCCCACAAATAGAATTTCCTTCTCTTTAGGTCCTAGGATATGAGGATCTATATTAGTTTGGGGATCTATCACATCACGATGATAATCATAAGAATTAAAAAAAAAAAATGTTAAGGCCCAGTGTGGTGGCATCTCAGCATTTGGGAGGCAGAGGCAGGCAAATCTCTGTGAATTTGAGACCAGCTTTATCTACATAGCAAGTTCTAGGCCAGCCAAGATTACATAGTGAGTCCGTCTCAAAAAAAAAAAAGAAAAGAGCTGATAGAAGACTATATAATGTGATTCAGTATTTATTGAAAAAAATTTGTTTGTATTCAGATTTTAAACTGGAAGGAATTATGCTCAGATTTTATTAGTATTCACCTTGGGTAGATACTGTGATTATGGAAGAGGCAGGAGGCATGAGATAGGCTTTAGAGCCAGATTATCAGATTTAAATCTTTATTGACTACCTATTTTCTCCTGTTACTTAACCAATTTGTGCTTTAGTTTTCTTCTGGATGATACTGTTAATAATGTACTTAAGATTACTGTGACAAAAAAATAATATATATATATCCCAGTCTTCCTTCCTTAACTCACTATCTAACCCCCATTAAACTATTTCAAACCCAGTCCCTTTTGGAAAACGTGTTTTTATTATAATGTTTTCTCCTTATTAGGCTGAACCATGACAATGTCGTAAAGGCCTGTGATGTTCCAGAGGAACTGAACTTTTTGATTAATGATGTGCCTCTTCTAGCAATGGAATACTGTTCTGGAGGAGATCTGCGGAAGGTAGACTGGATGTTTTGAGATGAAGAGATAGTAAATCACAAAGTTTAGCAGTGTTTGCACCATCTATGATATGATAATCTAGAATAAGAATTAGAGAATTATAACCCTCCACCTGTTTTATAAGTACACATTTATTGGATCCTGGCTATGTTTATGGCTGCTTTGGTACAACTTTAGAATTGAGTAGTTGTAATGTGATCACATGGCTTCCAGAGCTTGAAGTATTTAATATCTGCTGCTTTTCAGAAAATATTTGCTAACCTTTGGTTTAGAACGTTTTTATTGTTGTTTTAAAGGTGGTATTGCAGTTGTAGTTTAAGTCAAAATATCAACATTTGTGTATGTGCATATAGCACACATATATATGAGATTTGTCAGCCTTTTTCATTTTCAAATACTTCTGTACCTCATCTTTGCTTTTTATGAGCTTGCTTCTTATGAGCCTTCTCATGATATTTCTACAACCTCAGTATGAATTTGATGATTATTTTTCCTTTATATCCCTGGTGTTTACTGTTTGTGAAACAAAGTCTTCTTTGTACTACATACTGGCCTTAAACTCAGGATCCTCCTACCTCAGCCTCTCAGGTGCTGGCATTCCAGGCGTGTACCACCATGCCTGGATCCTTCTTACGGCTTCTTCATTGTGACTTATTTTCTCATTTGAATATTCTCTGACTGTATAGTGATTAACATGTGTTGCTATTGCTGCTCAGCAATTTACAGTATACATTTTTAGACTTCTTTTTTCTTTTTTCTTTAGTTACTCAACAAGCCAGAAAATTGTTGTGGACTTAAAGAAAGCCAGATACTTTCTTTACTGAGTGATATAGGTATGTAACCAGTATTAAAATACCACTGCTCTTTAATGCACCTTTGGTCCACAAAAGCAGATTCTGAATACTTCTTGGAAATTAAGGAGAACTGCTTATGTTCTGTACAAAGCATATGGATTTTTAATGTCTATAAGAAATTTTAAAAATTCATTACTAATGTTAAATTAAAACTAGGATGTTCTGGTGTTTGTTTTTATTTTGGTTTTTGGGTAAGGGTCCTTTGACTAATAGATGTTACAACTGACAACAAAATTGGTATGAAATAACATTCATTCCCTCTCACTCTCACCCGACACTGACATAGTTTTGCTTACAGTGGGATTACATCTTTTTGGAGGAGAGGTCCTCATGCTAACTCTTAAGGTGACATTCTCTGTTTAATCAGATTTACTACTGAAAAATCCTTAAATTTTGCTGCCACCTAGGCCTTTAAAGAAAGCTTAAAAGAATTGGTTTTCCTATATGTTTTGGTGTTGCTTCTTTTCCTAGGTCATGGGCATCAAAGTCTAATTAAGAAGGTGATTTAGGTGGGAGGAAAAGGCCACTGGGTTACAGTTATTCTCTCAAAAATTGTTATTTGTTTTTAATGTTAATTTTTAATGTCAATTCCAATAAGTTAAATGAGCACATACTATAATATTTAATGTTACTGATTTTTTGTGAATTCCAATAAGTTAAATGAGCACAGACTATAATTTTTCAGTATTTAATGTTACTGAATTTTTGGTAAAGAAAATCTGAACTACTGTAATGTTGGTTATGCAGCTGTGGCGTGTATGTAGTGTATGTGGTGCATGCATGTATGTTGGTGCACATGCATAGACATATGCATGTAGAAGTCAGAGCAGGATGCCAGGTGTCCTTTTCTGTTCTCAACTTCATTGCCTTGGGACAGGGTCTCTGACTGAACGGGAAGCTCGCCATTTCAACTCAGCTGGTTAGCCAGCAAGCTTTGTGATCCACCTGTCTTTCCCCCAACCTCAGAAGTTATAGGCACACAGAGCTATTTAAGACAGATTTTTTAAAACATAGTTTTTTCTGTGATTTCACAATACATTTTAAATTTTATTTAGGATCTGGGATTCGATATTTGCATGAAAACAAAATTATACATCGAGATCTAAAACCTGAAAATATAGTTCTTCAAGATATTGGTGGAAAGGTAGGTGAAGCTTAAAGGATGGTCTGTGTCTATTGTTATGGTCTCCTTGATATAGTTAGTCTTTGAGTTGTAGTGTCCACGCTGTATACCCATAGTACTTTGTAATTTTTCTATTTCAGTTCTCACCACACTGAACTTGAGTTTTGTGGTTAGATTTTTTTGTCTTATCTACCAAGCAGTGGCTCCCTTAGAGAAGGAACTACAGGTGTTGTGTTCATTTCCAGTTTTCTAGTGCCATATCTAGCAGAGATAGTAGGAAATGAGTAAATAATTTGCTAACCCCAGTATTCTGTTCTTTTGAAGCACATCCAAAAATGTACATATCGTGTCTGCTTCACTTGAAGAAGAAAAGTATGTTTTCTTAAAACTCACCCTTCCCTCAAATTTTAAGTTTTATATTTAGTTAAAACTTAAAGCCTTGGTTTCTCAGTTTCCTAAATGAGTCAAATTGAAAAGTTTAAGCAATTGTGCATCATATATTTTTATTTTCATCAGAGTAGGTGTATAGTTTCTTCTAACATAGAAGAATGCATTCCAATACTGACTTAAGGCCATGACTCTGAACCTTTTTAAAATTTTATTTTAAGGGAGGGTCTCCCTGTAGCCCCAGCTGGCCTGGAACTTACTATGTAGACCAGTCAGGCTGATGTCACAGAGATACACCTGCCTTTGCCTCCTAAGTGCTGGGATTAAAAGCATATGTCACCACACCTGGCTGGACTTTTAATTGTGTTATTTATTGGCTCATTAGTGAAGGTGGTGTTGTTGGTCATTTAAAGGTGATGGAACTTTTATAATTCTTCTCATAGGAACCTTTTATGTATGATTAAGACCATTTCTTGAATCTTAATAGATGCTGGCTCATATTTAACCCTTCCTATGGTTAATATGCTTTTTAAGAAAAATATAACTTTATGAATTTGATTGTTTTGTGTATATATGCTACATGCATGCTGGTGCTCATGGAGGACAAAAGAGAATGTCAGGTCCCCCAGAATAAGAGTTACAGGGAGTTGCTAGCTACCATGTGAGTACTGGAGACCAAACCCTAGTCCTCTGGCAAGAGCAACAAATGCTTTTAACTGCTGAGCCATCTCTCCAGCCCCAGTATGATGCTTCTTAAATTTGTAAATCACCATTTCCTTTGACTTCCAGTTTAATGATTCAGACTTACTCTGAATATACTTAAAATTAATAGGCAGTCTATATTTTAATGTGTCAGGCACTGTGTTATTTATTTTCAGTATTTTACTCAGTTGTAATGAATAATTCTATGAAGGAGGTATTGTTAATAATCTAATTGTGTACAGGAAACTTGTATCAAGAGATTAAATAACTTGATCAAGATTACATGGCTAGCCAGGCTTGGTGGCTTACATCTATAATCTCAGCTCTCATGAGGCTGAGGCAGGAAGATTGCTATAAGTTTGAGGCCAGCCTGGGTTACAATGTGAGACCTTGTCTCAAAAATACCTCCCCTCCCCCACAAATTGCATGTTTCATTAAGTAAGGATTAGACTGTCAGACTTGATACACTTTTGGGTCACTCCAGAGCCCAAGTTCTTTACTGCCCTTTCTAGTTTTACAAGAACATTATTACCTTTTCTTTTCTGTAAAAATTACATTTTAAATTTTATTTTGCGTGTGTGGGGGAGGTTAGAAGACAACTTGCAGAATTTGCAGTTGGTTTTCTCTACCGTGTGGATCCTAGGGATTGAACTCAGGTTATCAGGCTTGGTGGCAAGTGCCTTTATCAACCAAGCCATCTTGACAGCCCACTTCTTTTCCTTTTTTTCTTTTGATTTTTTTTTGCTGTGCTTGGGATTGAACCCAGGACCTTATATATGACATGGGACCAGTCTGTCACTAAGCTACAGCATACCACCTTTCTTTTGCAGATATTTCAGCTGCTTAATACATACTCTCTTACTATTTCTAGGTAATGCATAAAATAATTGATTTGGGTTATGCCAAAGATGTTGATCAAGGAAGTCTCTGTACATCTTTTGTGGGAACACTTCAGTATCTGGTGAGACATGATTATTTCTTTAAATTTACATATACAAGATTCTCATGGTTATTTCCGAAGGTAAAGATACAGTAATTTAAAACTGTAGTAGCTCTTTTCTTATAAGCACTTAAAGCATTTTCTTTTTTAGGCCCCAGAGCTCTTTGAAAATAAGCCTTACACAGCCACTGTTGATTACTGGAGCTTTGGGACTATGGTGTTTGAATGTATTGCTGGATATAGGCCTTTTTTACATCATCTGCAGCCATTTACCTGGTAAGACATGGGCGTGAACTTTGGTGTGTTTAGTGGTAATGAAAATTTTTTCTCTAGTCTGCTTTTTTTTCTCCTTTTCTTTCTTTATTGGTAAAGTTGCCTTTTAACACCAAATTGAATGAAATTAAGTGGTAAAAATCTTAGTCTTGAAAGTATTTGTGAGAATCCGGTATTCAACTACGGTATCTTTTTATAGGCATGAGAAGATTAAGAAGAAGGATCCAAAATGTATATTTGCATGTGAGGAGATGACAGGAGAAGTTCGGTTTAGTAGCCATTTACCTCAACCAAATAGCCTTTGTAGGTGAGTATTTTAGGTGAGGGAATTTGCCTCAGTTTCTCTGGGATTGTAAAAGAACAGTAGAGCAATTGGCTGTTTCAAATAGCATTGTTATCGATAGACCTTGTGTGAGGGTGGAAGCCTTCCGCATCTGTTGCTCTCTTGAAGTTTATTGAACATTTGAAAGGTAGGTTAGGGCTTGTGGTGTAGCTCAAGAGTGCAGTACTTATTTAGCATGCTTCAAGTCTTGACTTTGTTTACCTGCACTGCCTGGGTGGGTGGTGGGGAGTGGCTTTTGTGATTGAAGAACTGAATTTTAAATAAATAGTAAATAGAAATAGTACTGTGGGCCGGGTGTGCTGGCAGGTGTAGTGGCACATGCCTTTGATCCCAGCAGAGACAGACGGATCTCTCTAAGTTCAAGGCCAGCCTGGTCTATATAGTGAGTTCAGGCTAGCTGGGCCGACAGGGAGACCCTGTAAAGAAAAAGAAGAAAAAAAGGAAAGAAAAGGGGAAAAAAAGAAATAGCACTGTGATTATTGTTATCCTGTTGGATAGCACACGTGGTGTGGAACAGAACTGCTGCCATTCAACTGACTGCCTTAGATGCCAAGAAGACCCAAGGAATAAAGAAGTAAATGGGTTCCTTGCAAATTGGCATTTGAGTCATCTTTTGTAGTTGCCAGTCACAAACTGACTTACGCGTTTTAGGGCTAGTATTTTATGGAAGAAAATTTGTCCTCTGCCATTTCATGGATTATTTGAAAGTAAAATATAAAGTGGCACAGATTAGTCTTGGGCAAGGAAATGGACAACCTATAAAATTGCCTTTTGATAATACTGAAGCAAAATTGGAACATAATGATAATCACCTAGCTTTTGTCATTTTCCAGTTTAATAGTAGAGCCCATGGAAAACTGGCTACAGTTGATGCTGAATTGGGACCCACAGCAGAGAGGGGGACCTCTTGATCTTACTTTGAAGCAGCCAAGATGTTTTGTATTAATGGATTACATTCTGAATTTAAAGGTTAGTTTTAATAGGGTTAACAAGTTTAAAATGAGCATAACCGTATTTAGTAATCTTTTCCTGGTATTCATTTAAAAAAGAATGTTATATTCTTAGAGTGAATGCTTTATTTCTTTAGCAAGGTTTCTCAGGTGGTCTTTCAGTTTTGCCCTATATACTTTCTCTTCGGTAGTCAGTGTAACATGAACTGCCCCTTGTTGTCTGAGACTGCTTTTTATTCTTCTTAGAAACCAACACATTTCCTTTTAGCTTGACAAGTTATATTTAAACTGATCTGCTTGGCCTTTGGGGACTTCCTAATGTAGGACCACTCCAGACAAGTCCATACCTTGTAACAAGTCCATGATTTGTACCTGCTTCGCCTCAGTCAGCACCAGCTTGTCACTCCTCATGCCATCAGATACCATATCTATATTTGTGTTTTGACAGATGTTATACTTCTGCCCAGAATAATCTCCACATGTGAATCTCTTCACCTACATTGATTGACATATCTTAAACTTACCTTTCTTTAAATGGTCTCTACCACACAATTTGTCACTTAATATCCTCTATATTCCCTAAGTATTTCTTATCGTTTATTTATGATTCTTCTTAAAGTCTCCTTCAATGCTAGGTTTGTTTATGACTTTTTTTAAACAGTTGCCTACCCTGGGTTTGGTGCCAAGCAGGGCATGTATCAGGTTCTCAGCATGTATTCACTGACTTGAATGAAAGGTGTAGATCTCAACTCCCATCTGCAGTTTTCTGTTTATTGATTGCCTGTAGCACAGCTAATTAAACTTTTTCCACCTGCAATTCCTTCTAGTCTAAGAAATTTCTGCGTGGCCAGGGTATATAAAATGCAACAATTGTTCATATCATAGAGGTTATTTTAAAACAATTCTTTGATATAATATATATATATATAATTTTGCTACTTTATTAAAGATGAAAGGAAATTTGCATACTAGTGAAATGGATGTGCTTGTTTATTTTTACATAAAAAATTAAGTCTTGACTGAATATTATTGGATACTACAGGACAAAGCATCTTCAACTATTTTCAGAGTTGATTGATACTTTGATTTTATGGTTGTCAATGCTAAGAATTCTGTTTTGCATAAAAACTTAGTGGAAAATGGCAGATGTGTGTTTAGGACCATTTCAAAAATTGTTAGAAATTCCATCTAAATCCTAAGCCAAAATCCATCTAAGGATTTTTAAATGAAATTCAAACAGCACTTTCAAAAATAAATATTCAAAGTATATATAATCCAGAGATAGACTAATTTGATACTGACATGCTGAGGAATGATAGAAAGATATTAGAAGTGTTTGTTTTTGTAGATAAACCATTATGTTTCTATACGAGCAGAAATTATATGTGCAGTACAAAACATTGCAATCTATAACATGCACTGATCTCTAATCTGAGCTGAGGTATTTGAGGAAGCATTCATTGGCTTTGTGTGGCATGACAGCATGCTCAGTGCAGTGTGCATGTTAAGTGTTCAGAAGCAAGGCCGAAGTAAAGTTGCATGGGTGAGCTGCCAGGAGTGCTTTCTGTTGATGGATTGACTTTGAACTAATTTTTGGTTGTGCATTAAGAAACTTTTTAACTTCTGACTTTTTTCTAGTTCCCTGTCTAGAACTTGTAATCCTAATTACTCTTGCCTTTACTTCTCCTTCACATCTCCTATGTTAGAGTAGCCAAAAGCCCCATAAAAAAATAAATAAAGAAGAAAGAATACCTGAAGTTATCAAAAAAAGTGATGGGGAGATATGGGAGGAGTTGGAGAGGAGGGAGTGGGCATGGATTTGATCAAAACACCTATGCATATATGAAATTCTCAATAAACTATTTTTTTTTTTAAAGAAAAAAAAAACTTTTTAACATTGCCAAAGTTTTTGTGAGCCTGAAATTCAGTTACATGATCCTGTATGGGCTCATGACCCACATATTAAGCCAGGACCTACAGTATAGGCTTTTAAAAATTGAATGAAGGTGGTTGGAGAGATGGCTCAGCAGTTGCAGGAGACCTGGGTTTAATTCCCAGCATCCATATGGCAGCTAACAACCATCTGTAACTCCAGTTCCAGGGGATCCAACACCCTCTTCTGACCTCTGAGGGTATTGCATGACATAGGTGCACTTACATGTAGGCAATACACATACACATAAAAATAATAAAATATTTTTTTTAATTTGAATGAGGAACTCATAATCATGTAAAACTGAATCTAATCTTGGCATGCTTTATTAAATGGGTGCTTGAGAGCTGGGCATGGTGGCTTCAATCTTTAATCCCAGCATTCTGGAGGCAGAGGCAGGCAGAACTCTGTGAGTTTGAGGCTAGCCTGGTCTCCGTAGTGAGTTCCAGGCCAACTGTGGCGAGACCCTGTCTCAAAAAGATGAAAAGAAAAAAATAGTACTCTAGAAAAATTCCCAAACATTTTATAACCTGAAACTGATCTCTTTGTAAATTCCAAGTATAACAAGGCTGTTGGTATTTCTCTCAGCATACCTTAAGGAACTTGTATTTTAACAGAAGTAATAAAAGGAATAATGTTGGCCTTGAATTAATGCTTTAATTTTGTAGTAAAAATTTCCAGCAGATACCATTTTATCATTTGCATGTACTAGTTAATGTGAAGAGCCAGGGAATATAAGTATTAATTTTGTATGGCTTATCTAAGGACGGTGGAAAGAAGAGGACTGTTGCGATCAAAAGGACTTCCGTCTCTCTTGTCTTTGTTCTCCTGAGTAGGACCTCACTTGACTCAGCCTCACACACACTGGCTATGTGGAGCTTACTTGCACTGGGGCTTTATGTAAGATGGTTTTCTTAGCCATCTTTGAGCCATTAAGCAGATCATCACTCCAGGATTTGCTTGCCTTGTGGGAATAATAATGCTTTTTCTTGTTGAAAGAGAAGCCCATCTCTTCAGATAGTTATTTCTGGAGGCAAAATGACAGTTAAGAAGTCAGATCCAAGCTCTATTGGTTATCAGCTATGTGGCCTCTAACAAACTACCTTTTTTTTTGGTCTTTTTGAGACAGGGTCTCCCTGTAGCCCCAGCTGTCCTGAACTCACTATGTAGTCCAGGCTGGCCTTGAACTCACAAAGATTTGCCTGCCTCTGCCTCCCAAGTGCTGGGACTAAAGGCGTGCACCACACCATACCCAGCTCAAACTACCTTTAGGAAGCCTAATTTTTCCCTCCTCTAAAAGAGAGATTAGAAGATCTAATTAATGGGGATATTATGTGAAAGCTCTTACTCTGTGGTTAGCATTTATCAGACACTTCATAATTAAGAATATTCCTTCTTGGTCTATGATAATGTTTTTTGAAATAAGTATTTTTTGATTGGAATTTCTATTCATTTTTGTGCATCCCTAGAACTTAAAATTTTTTTTATTATTTTTATTTTATATGTGTATAAGTGTATTGCCTGCATGTACGAAAGTGTATCCTGCATGTATGTCATGCAATGCCCACAAAGGTCAGAAGAGTGTGTCAGATTCCCCTGGAACTGGAGTTACAGATCGGTGTTAACAGCCATGTGGGTACTGGGACTCAAACCCAAGTGTTCGACAAGAGCAGCCAGTGCTCTTAATTGTTGAGCCATCTCTCCAGCCCCATAGAACTTTAAATTTTATTTGTTGAAACTATTATCTATTGTTTAGAAAAGTAGACTCCACTTTTCAATTTGTAAAATGTCATCTTAACAATTATAGAAGATTTCACTTTTGAGAAGAAGTGAACCTTGTTTCATATATAATTCTCCTTGTTCAGATTCCCCTTTTAATATTTTCTACTGAATTGCTCATGTACCAAATAACCAATACACTTATCTTTTTTCTTATTTAGGTAGTGCACATCCTGAATATGACTTCTGCAAAAATAATTTCTTTTCTGTTACCGTGTGATGAAAGTCTTCATTCACTACAGTCTCGTATTGAGCGTGAAACTGGAATAAATACTGGTTCTCAAGAACTTCTGTCAGAGACAGGAATTTCTCTGGATCCTCGGAAACCAGCCTCTCAATGTGTTCTAGATGGAGTTGTAAGGGATCATTTTGTGCTTTGTTTTGTTTTGGCTTTGTTTTTGCTATACAGACTAGGCTGACCTCTTTCTAACTCACACTCTTTCTGCTTCAGGAGAACTGGAATCACAGACCTGACCTGCCATGCACAGGCCTTTTTTGTTTGCAATTGACATAATATTTGTACTTATTTATGGAGTACAGTATAGTAGTTCAATACATGTATACACTGTGTAATGGTCAAACCAAAAAGATAAGCACTTTCATGTCCTTGAATATCACCGTCTCTATGTTGGAAACATTCATACTCTTTTCCTTTAGTTATCTTTAAATATATAATTATTATGTAAACTATAGTTACCCTACTGTTTTGCTGCAGAAAGTGTGGATAAAAACTTTGTTAAAGGTGTGCACCACTATGGCTGGCCAGATTCACTGCATGAACATGCTCATATACAAGCACAAACAAATGCACAAATATGGAATAATAAAAGAAACCAAAAAAAGAGAAATAAAACAAGATAGATTGTTTTCAGGGTTTTTGTTGTTGCTTGGTTTGGGGTGGGTTTCTTTGTTTTTGGCACAGGGTCCCCCTGTAGCCCCACCTGGCCTGGAACTCATTATGTAGACTAGGCTGGCCTGGAACTCATAGAGATCCACCTGCCTCTGCCTCCCAAGTGCTGGGATTAAAGGCATGTGCCACCATGCTGGCTTTTGCGACAGGGTCTTGCTAAGTAGTCTAGCCTTGTCTCCTTAGGCCACGCACAGTGCCGAGATTACAGCCATGTGTCACCATGCCAGCTGGTATTTTTCTTTTTGACTACTAAATAGTATTTCTATTCTGTGGATATGTGCTTTTTTTGGTAATTGTTCTTTTATTTTTTAAAAACTTGTCTTAATTTTTTTCATTTTAATTAACTTTAAGTTAGCATACAAAATGATGGATTACCTTGTGGCATTTTTATACGTATATGTTCATTATATTTTTTTCTTGTTCCTCCCCCTTCCGCTTTACCCCTCTCTCGCTGGTGTTCTTCTTCTCCCCCATCTTCCCTCCTGCTTTTCTTTCACATGAATTCCATTATCCTCTCCTTCTATGTTCCCTGTATTTGTTCTTTCAGGTCTGGTGTTGTTTTTTTTTAAATTGACTCCATATATCTTTTTTTCCCCTTAACTAACCCTTAGGCTCTAAGTCTATAAAAGGCATGAAATCTGGGGCTTAAGTATTTACAAAATCTAGGATTATCAAGAATCTTAGAACCTTGTTTGTTTCTTTTTCAGAGAGGCTGTGATAGCTACATGGTTTATTTATTTGATAAAAGTAAGACTGTATATGAAGGGCCCTTTGAATCCAGAAGTTTATCTGATTGTGTAAATTACATTGGTAAGTATAGTCCATTTAGTAGCTGAACTTTAATTCTGAGATTATGTGATTAATAGAAATGATCTTTTGGTGTTTTGTTCTGTGTCTCTCATACTTGAGGTTTCTATATGTGCTGAAAAATGGGTTTAATGTAGTTTGGAAGGTGAAAAGGATTTTAAATCACCCCTAGATCCGTCTCTTAGGACAGTGCTTCCCTTCCTGAGGATAGGACTCTTACAGATAGAATGAAACTCCACTATTAATTAAACCTTTTTAAGGTTTAATTGTTCCTTCATTGTGCATGTTCAAATATTTACACACACACACACACAGGCTTTGTCATTCATTTTTATTTTCCTTTATATCTAGAGCCTGGCTATTGTAAATAAATTCTAACATCTATGGGACTATTATTTGGAAAGAAAATCACAAAAATGGAATGTAAAGTCTTTGAAAGTAACCTTCCCTTATCATCTTGCCTATAGTACAAGATAGCAAGATACAGCTTCCTATTATACAGCTGCGTAAAGTGTGGGCTGAAGCAGTACACTATGTGTCCGGGCTAAAAGAAGACTATAGCAGGCTCTTTCAGGGACAGAGAGCCGCAATGTAAGTAGGTTCTGTTTTTTTTTAACAGAATGTCACGTGTATCATATACTCAAGAATTCATCTTGACAGTTTCCACTAAGCAGTATTGTGTGCAATGCAAAAATATTGAACCAATGTGAAATGCAATATTCTTCTTTTTTTGAGACAGAGTCTCACATGTGTCCCTGGCTAGCCTGGAAGTTGCAGTGTAGACCAGGCAGACTTGAAATCACAGAGATCCACCCTACTTGCCTCTGAGTGCTGGGATTAAAGACGTGCCTCCATGCCTGACACAATTTGTGTGTGTGTGTGCGTGTGTGTGTGCATGCGCATACTTTGCACATGCATGTGCACATGTGGAGGACAGAGGTCAATGTTAGGTGTCTTTCTTCTATTGTTCCTCACATAATTTTTGAGACAAGGTCTCTTACTAAACTTGAAGCTTTCTATTTACCTATACTGACTGGCCAGAAAGCCAACAGGATCTGTCTGTTTCCCCCTCCTCCATGAACTGCCATATTCGTGAGGGCTGAGGATCTGAACTCAATCCTCAGGCTTGCACAAGGCAAGCACTGTACCCACTGAACCAGCCCCATTGAAATGTAATGTTCTGATCAAACTTGTAGCTTTCTTATCAATGGTCTGAAAACATTTAATTTCAATGGCTTGGAAAGAGTAGTTCCTGAATGTTCTTTGTATAAGAACATTGTTTATCACAGAACTTCACAGACAGGAAGTCTTTAGAGACTAGGTTCCACAGGTCACCTGTTTCTCATAAATTGATTATAGAAATAAAGTTTTTGGAGTTTTGGTAATTTATGTTTGCAAATGGATATTTTTTGCGAATGTTGATAATTTTGTTTTGCATTGGCTTAGGTTAAGTCTTCTTAGATATAATGCTAACTTGACAAAAATGAAGAACACGTTGATTTCAGCATCACAGCAACTCAAAGCTAAATTGGAATTTTTTCACAAAAGCATTCAACTTGACTTGGAGAGATATAGTGAGCAGATGACATATGGGATATGTAAGTATCTGGCTGTGATGTATTCATAAGGAATGTCTAGTCTTTCGAAACCTTATCTGCTCTTCTGTGTTGACAACTCATAGCCACTGGTCATTTAAATTCACATTAAATAACAGACAGAATAACTTAGGTCACCAAACCATTTTTGTTTTGAGGGTTAGCTTTTTTAATCTTGTCGTTGAACAACTTATTTTTGTAATTGGAATAAAAATCACTTAGCTCTAGAAAAGCCGAATAATAGAGAAATGACTTAAGAATCTGAATTTCACCAGGCATGGTGGCTCACACTTTTAGTCCCAGCACTCAGGAGACAGAGGCAGGCAGATCTCTGGGAGCTTGAGGCCAGCCTGGTCTACATATTAAGTTCCAGGCCGGCTATAGGGAGACCTTATCTCAAAAAGACAAAAAAAAAGAAAAAAAAGTATTTGAATTTTAAGTCTCATTTTAAAAATAGATACAGATCTGTACTGAGATGACTTCTTAGCCAGTACTGTGGACTGAGATGCCCCCCCATCCCCAATTTATATGTTGACATCCTGACTGACGGTGATGGTACTGGGAAGGAGGACCTCTGGGAGTTGGCTAGGCCATGGTGGAACCTCATGAATGAGCTAATGCCTCACAGCCTGAAGCCTGCAGGAGAGCCTGTGAGGACACAGCAGGCAGCCACCTATGAACCAGAAAGCAGGGCCTCACCAGACCTTCATGGTGTCTTGATCTTGAATTTCTCTGATTTCCAAACTGAGAAATTTCTGTTGTTTATTTAACAGCTAGAATTTTGTTTTGTTTGCCTTTGTTTTAATGTAGTAGCTCAAATGAACTAACACTGCCAGGGGAGTCTTAAATTATTTGTCTTCTGTAAACACCACAGATAACACCAAGGTTGCTCCTTTTAATCTACCTGCTGTGGAGTTCTGCTACAAATCTTTAGGGAGTGAATTCTGTTTTGTACATGTACCTTATGAAAGTGTGTGTATCTCAGCATAAATTATCAGACGTGTCCAGCTAGGTAAATAAATGTACTCTCCAGTGTTTTCTGTGGTTGATGCTTTATTTGTATCTGCATATTTATCTGTTGAATGACAAAATACTATAATTCCATTAAAATATCTTTGACTTGTCAAAGGCATACTATTCAATTATTTAGGCATAGTGAGATCTAGATGTGTTGATATTAAATTAAGATCAGTTGAATATTTGGCAGTGAAATTTTTAAGGTATGGAAAAATGTGTGTATAGATCATCTTACCCTAAGAGAACAGGGAATATAACCTGCAACAAGCATAATAGTGCGATCACTTGGAGTTAAAGGAAAGAGGCTTGTCGTTTGTTTGCTTGCTTGCTTTGCTTATTTTGAGACAGGCTCTCTCTGTAGCCCCAGCCTGTAACTCACTATGTAGACCAGTCTGGCCTTGATCTCACAGAGATCTGCCTGCCTCTGCCTCCAAAGTGCTCGGATTAAAGGTGTGCGTCATTATGCCTGGCCAAGAGTCATTGCTTTGTACACACTTTTATGGTTACTTGTTTATTTGCTTATCTTTACAGTGCTGGGAATTGAACCCAGAGCCTTGTGCATGCTAGGCTAATGTTCTGCGACTGAGCTAATCCCTATCTCATGTTTAATTTTTTTGAAGCACGTTCCTGTATTACATTTAAAAATTAATTTTAAAATATTTTATTTATTATTTTTATTTTATGTGTATGAGTGTATTGCCTGCATGTATGTGAGTGCACCCTTGTTGTGCAGTGCCAGCCGAGGTCAGAAGGGGGCTTCAGATTCCCCTGGAACTGGAGTTAAGGACTGTTTGTAGGCACCATGTGGGTGCTGGGGATCAAACCTGGGTCCTCTGCAAGAGTAGTCAGTGCTCTTAACCTCTGAGCCATCTCTCCAGCCCCTTAAAAATTAATTTTGAGGAAGAACTGTATTACTCTTCTAGGACTTCCATAACAGCTATGTGGCTTAGAACAACATAGATGTAAAGACTCACAGTTCACAAGGCTAACATCCAAAATCAAGGTGTTTGCAAAGCCGTGATCCTTCTGAAACCTGTAGAGAGGATTACTTCCCTGTTTCTTCCTAACTTCCTATGGTTGCCAACAATCCTTGGTGTTCTTTGGCTTGTAGCTGTAGTTGTCACATGGCATTCTCCACTTGTGTTTCTGTATACCCCCATACCCATGTCTGTTCTATTCTAAGGACACTATAGGAGAGTTATACTGGATTGGGGTCTAGCCTAATCCAGTGTAAGTATATACACTTGATTAACTCTATAAATTGCCCTATTTTCAGTGAAGTCACTTTCTGAGGTATTGAGGCTTAGCAGGGCAGCATATCTGTTTGGGAGACATACTCCAACCCATAATGTATCTTTGAGGTTGTTACAGCAAGGAGGTGACCAGGCTAGTGTTTAAAGTTACGATTATTTCAGAGGTAACCAATTTCTTCTTTCTTTTTTTAGCTTCAGAAAAAATGCTAAAAGCATGGAAAGAAATGGAAGAAAAGGCCATCCACTATGCAGAGGTAAAATCACTAAAGTCATTCTGTGTGTTTAATGTCTCCATTAGAAATTGTCTTTGCTTTTGGTATATAAAGAATATTTATCAGATCATTCTTGAAATTTAGACAGAAATGTAGTAGATGCTTTGTATATATAAAACATTTCATAGTGGGTAAAAAAGGGCTTTGGGCAAACTTTTTAGCTTCACTGGACTTCAGTTTCCATATTATATATATATTAGGGAAGCTATCTTTTCTGACAGGATTATGATGAAGATTAAATTGCAATCAGTAATAAATGGTATGTGTCACTTTTCTCACTGGTTTAGATAAGATGGCTGCACATCCTGGTTTAAATGGGATAGTCCCTTTTATACCTGACATCTTACCATAATTACCACTACTACTCCCTTTCACTGTCAAAATTACACTGCTTTAGACAATAAATTATACGGTCTCCTTAGGTATAGATCTTTTCCTGGGTGGCATATTCCCTCCTTTTCCTGTATGCCCATGGTCCTGGATTGTTGCTTTCCTTGGTGCCATTTCATACTTAGGCTGAGGATATGGGTAGGCAGTTGGTGGTGTGGGATTGAGATGCAAGATATGCCAGTGGTTTCAGTGGCTACTTGCTTTGTCCTGATAATGGCTCTTTTGTTCTGCTTCTCCAGAGGACAAAGCAAACACTATTAGTAGTTGACTGGTCAGGAGAGAAAAAGAAAGAAACATAGGAATAAGTATGTTTTCATTTTTACCTTTTTGTTAAGCCAGGGTCTCTCTTTGTAGTCTGGAATTCGCTATGTAGAGTATGCTGACCTCAGAAATCCACCTGCCTCTGTCTCTTGAGCACTGAGATTAAAGCCCAGCATAGGTATGTATGCATGTATGAAATCTCAAAGCATTACTAATATGTATATTACTAATATATATACATATATGTGTGTGTGTGTGTTTCTTTTTTTCAAAATTTTTATAAGCCTATTGTGATCTTGCACACCTGTAGTCCCAGCATTCAGGAAACTAAGACTTGAGAACTACAGACTTAAAGACAGCCTGGGGTACAGTATCACTGTCATTAAATAAACAAATATACAACAAGCTTTAGCAAAAGCTTTTCATACTAAGATACTGATTTCTGCTGCTACAGCAGACCATTCTCTACCTTTAAGATCTGAGCCTGTCATTTCCTTTGCATTTGCATCATTGTAGGTTGGTGTCATTGGATACCTTGAGGATCAGATTATGGCTTTGCACACTGAAATCATGGAGCTGCAGAAGAGTCCCTATGGAAGACGCCAGGGAGACTTAATGGAATCTCTGTAAGGGTGTATTTATGCTGTTGGTCTTATTCTGTAGCCTTTATATTTTCTTTCTGTGTCTATCTGACAGGTTAAGCCTAGGTATGGTCCTTATAATTTTTCTTTTCCTCTACCTGATGTATTGCTGTGATTTTTTTTTTTTTTTTAATTTTGTGTGTGTATGTGTATAGGTACATGCATGTGAAGGCATGTATGAAAATCAGAGGACAATTTCTGGGAGTTGGTTCTCTTTTTCACTGGTGGGCCTGGAAGTGAAAATCAGGCCATCAGGTACTGTGGCTAGTGCCTTTATTCGCTGAGCCTTCTCACCATCTCTTAGTTTAATATTTAAAGGAATCTATTTCTTAGTCATAAGGAATTTTTGAAATAATTCTTTGGATTATTTGTCTTTACCTTTTTACAAAGCCCCTTTTTCATGTGCTTTTCTAAGTATAATCTAATGGATTTACTACATAATTTTTCTGCTGACTATACTTTTGGTCCACTGTATTATCTCTTAAGCCCTCTATTGAGTTTAACTGCCTAAGTGTCTAAATTATAAACTTCAAGTTTTCTCTCTAGTCACAAGCTGTGATTCTGCCAATTTAAATGTTTCTGGTGCATCAGTATCATGTCTGTGGTAGAAGATCAGAGAAAATATGAACTATGTTAAAACTTCACATTTTGTGGCCTAGAGAGATGGTAAAGCACTTGCTACTCAAGCTTGGGGTCCTGAGTTTGAATTCCCAGAACCCACACATAACGCTGGTGTAGTAGCATGTCTGTAATCTCAGTGCTCCTACAGCAAGAGGGAAGCAGAAGCAGGAGAATCCCAAGAAGCTTGCAGACCAGCCAGCCGGGCATAGACAGCAGCAGACAACAAAGAAACCCTGTCTCAAGGTAGAAGGACCACAGTTGTCCTCTGACCTCCACACATGTGCTGTAGCACACGTGTGTCATAGTCAGCACACAAATGTACACACATGCACACTCACGTCTGATTTCTTTGTAAAGCTTTACATTTTAAGAACTTGTATTCTTGCTTATTACTCAGTGAAATGTTCTGTAAAATAGTCATTGATAATCTGTAATTGCTTTAAGGTGGAATATTGTTCAAATAGCCAGTTATTGAAGTTGTGGATTATTAGTCATCAAGTTACTTCCACGTACAGAAGTGTTTTTTTCCCCTTTGTAGGGAACAGCGTGCCATTGATCTATATAAGCAGTTAAAGCACAGACCTACAGGTGAGATACTTCTATCACAGTATTTGAAGGCATTTTAGGAAACTATCACCTGGCTTAACAAAGTGGGTGGATTTTCATTTATTTTCAAATGTCAGAATAAATCCTGTTTTGGTGTTGCCATTGAGACATTTATAGCATAATGTTTCTAAATTTAAATAAGGATATTGAAATGTAGACATTTTAAAAAATGAAAGAATGGAGGAGAAAACTCAAAGAAGGTGTTAGGGTGGTGGCTCAGTGGGTTAAGTGCTTGTTACACAAACATGAGGGCCTGAGTTTAGATCCCCAGCATAAAAGCCAGGCATAGCAGCCTGGGGCGGTGGAGACAGATGGACGCCTGGGGCTCAGTGGCCAGCCAATCTTGATGAAACAGTGGTTTCTAGGTTCAATGAGATCCTGTCTCAACAAATAAGGTTGGAGAGCTATAGAGGAAGATAACTGAAGTTGACCTCTGGCCTCTGTACATACACACCCTCTCCCTAAAAGAAGCAGCAGCCAAGAAATGTTTTGAGAAAGGTATTTTTGGAGCTCAGTATCTGGGTTGTAAGGGAGAGAGATGTGGAGAAGGTAGCTGTGATATGGAAGAGCTTCTGGAGTGATAACAAAGGACTTTTTTTTTTCTCTTGCTGTGCTGGGGGTCCATCCCAGGGCCTTGCATATGCTAGGCAGGCACTCTACCACTGAGCTGCATCTCTAGTCTCACAGTTTTAAACCTGTTTTGAAGCTCCTTTCATAGTTTTCTTTTTGGAAAAGTGAGGGTAGCACAGATCTGCTATGAATATTAAATGATAAAATTGTGAGTAGTTAATAGCAAATATTCATAATGGTAGTATTTTTGCAGTTAGTGTCCAAGAAAAGACCAGAATGAAGCATCCGTAGTTTTCCATGCTTTAAAACTTAAATTGCCATTTTCTGAAACAACAATTAAGACTAATAGTATTTTTAAACTGAGATAGTATCACAACTGTAGAACTTAGTGTAATCAACAGCCATCCCATTTGAGGGCATCTGTCATCTTCATGTGTCTGCAGTTCCCTTATTAGTGCATCAGATTTAGTTTAAGTCAGTTTTTTTTTTCCACTGTTTTTATAAGCTGTCAACAAGTGGATTAACATGAAATTCCAAACAATCTAGGTGGGGCATAGGCCTTTTAGGCTGTGAAAGTTAGATGAATTACAGGACTGCTTCTAAGTAAGCAGTATTAATCATATAAGAAATGCTGGTCTCTTAGCCAAAGGCTGCATGTGTCTTGGAGTCTGGATTAGTATTTGTTAGAGATTGACAACACTATTCTCAAATACAGGCAACTTGTCCCCAAAGATCCCCTAACTGGAATAACAGGTAGTTGTGAGCCACCTCATGTGGGTGCCGGGATCCTTTAGAAGAGCCGCAAGTGTTCTTAACTGCTGCATCATTTCTCCAGCCACCATAACTCTAGTTTTTGATGTATAGTTATCACTATAACTCTTAGACTTAGTTTTTGTTTTGGGTTCTGTTTTTTTGTTTGTTTGTTTTTTTTGTTTGTTTTTTTTGTATTTTTGAGACGGGGTCTCCCTGTAGTCCCAGCTGGCCTGGAACTCGCTATGTAGACCAGGCTGGCCTCAAACTCACAGAGATCCGCCTGCCTCTGCCTCCCAAGTGCTGGGATTAAAGGCGTGCACCACCACACCCGGCTCTAATTTTTTTTTTAATCCAGTTTTTTTTTTTTTTTAATGGGTTCTGGGGATCAAATTTGGGGCCTTGTGCTTGTTTTATGAACTGAACTATCTTCTCAGACCCTCCAGTTTAAAAAAAGAATTTATTTTTATTTTATATGTATGAGTGATTTGCCTGCATGTTTGAAAGTACACCCATGTTATGCAGTGTTGGAAGTCAGAAGAGGGTGTCAGATCCCCTGGAACTGGAGTTAAGGACAGTACTTAGCTATGATGTGGGTGCTGGGAACCGAACCTGTGTCCTCAGAAAGAGCAGCCAGTGCTCTTAACTGCTGGGCCATCACTCTAGCCTCATCCAATTTTTATTTTAAATGGTGGTGATATAAAATTTTCCTGGGGGGATAAAATGAGTATTCACAGTAGCTAGGACACCAATGACAGAACAAACAAATGATTCCACACAAGCCTAGCTTGGTGAGTCAGTGAGTTTGATTAGTATTACAGGAGCAAGGGTCAGAGATTGCCTGCAGGAGTATGGGCAACTTAACCAGTGGCTATCTATTGAAGAAAATGTCTCTCAACAACTGATAATGGCTTTTAGATCCTTGGGGAGGGTGAGGCCTCATAAGCCCCTTCTCCCAGCAACTGTTAACTGCTTATACATGTTTGAAGAGGAGCGAAGTCCTCATGTGCCCTTCATGGCTCCATTCCAGAACCTCAGCAGGCCCAATCTTGTATGGGTAATCACAGCTGCTGAGAGTTCAAGAGGGCAACAGCCATATCATGCCTAAAAGATGGTATTCAACAACAAATGAATTTTTTTAGAGTACTTTTAGATTTTTAAGAGTTTTTGAGGAATTATTCATTTGGAAGCTGATGTGTTCTGAGAAAGAGCAGTTATAAATGTACTGACTAAAGTCTTTTATAGATCATTCATACAGCGACAGCACAGAGATGGTGAAGATCATTGTGCATACTGTTCAAAGCCAGGACCGTGTTCTCAAGGAGCTGTTTTGTCACCTGAGGTAGGAAAACTGCTTTCCTTCCTCCTAAATACCAAGGCACTTTGTTCCTTTTAAAGTATAATACTTCTCTTTGTAAAACATACTAGACCCAAAAATAGTTCTGGCAGTATCTTAGGATTTGTAACCACAGCTGCATGCAGTTCTAATTCCTGTTTACATGCAGTACTTTTGAGATCAGTCATTAAATGCGGTATTGGTTGTGGTTCATTACCCAGCCAGGTTTGGTATGCAGTCTTGAGGGATGTGACAAGTATCTGACAATAACTTCATCTCTCCAGCAAATTGTTGGGCTGTAAGCAGAAGATTATTGATCTACTCCCCAAGGTGGAAGTGGCCCTCAGTAACATCAAAGAAGCTGACAATACTATCATGTTTATGCAAGGAAAGAGGCAGAAAGAAATATGGCATCTCCTTAAAATTGCCTGTGTAAGTAATTATTAGTGATGAAACATTGAGTTGCTATTACTGTCTGATTTTTGCTGTTCATGATCTGTATCCTCTGAATATTTATACTCTGTGTTGAATGTTCATGTTCCTTATTTGGTATCTGAGTTAAGTAGTGATGTAGGAGTCTTGCATTATCACCTTTCAGTTTCTTTGGTTATTTGTTTGTTTGTTGACAATATCTCACCCTGTAGCCTGGACTGGGAGCTGGCCTGGACCTCACAGCAATTTTCCTCTGTCTCCCAAGTGTTAGATTACAGGTGTGAGCCACCATACCCAGCTTGCTTCCTCTTTTTATATCCCTGCCTGGATCACTATGGTTGCCCAGCCCAACTTGAAATAAATGTGTCTGACTAGTTGATAAACCAACTCTTGTTCAACTTCCCCTTCCTCCAAACCAAAGCTGTATTAGAGGAGTTAGATACATTTGGCTTTAATCAATGAAGAAAGCCAGTGATGGTATGGTTAGTAGTGGTGGGAGTAGTTTTGTATAAAAATGGTCCAGTTGTGCATAAAAATAGTGGTAGACGTATAAGAAGTCTTAGCAATATGGTTTTAAAAAAAAAAAAAAAAAAAGATGTGAATCAAGAGGGGCTTGCCTGAAATTTATTGATTTTTTTTTTTCCCCCCTCCTTCAGACACAGAGCTCTGCCCGCTCCCTTGTAGGATCCAGTCTAGAAGGCACAGTAACCCCTCAGGCATCAGCATGGCTGCCCCCAACTTTAGCAGAACGCGAACATCCTCTGTCATGCGTGGTAACTCCTCAAGATGGGTGGGTTCACTTTGTAACAATAGGAAGCTGTCTGTATTTTGAGAACAGTGGTAGGAATGTGGCAGCAGAACACAGTGATTATTAGAGCCTTCTTAGACCAGGGATGAGTCTGGACTCTGTAAGAATAGTGGCCAAATTGGCCTTTTTTTTTTTTTTTTCCAGTTTTCTGAGATAAGGTCTCACTGTGTAACCCTGGATAGCCTGGGATTCACTCTGTAGACCAGTCTGACCTTGAACTCACAGAGATCCGCCTTCTTCTGCCTCCTGACTGATGGGATAAAGGCGTGTACCACCACAGCTGGCTATTTGACCTTTTTGATGCTCATTATTTTCTAACTCTTAATGAGACCATCTCATAGAACTGCTGTGAAGATTTGATTGGACAAAGTGTGTAAAATGTTTGGGAAGTAAATATTCAGTAAATGTTACAAATAATTATTAGCTCAATCCAAGCTCTAAGATATTTCTGCTAGTAGCTTATCAATTTCCTTTACCCAAACCATATTCCTTCCTTAACCATTTATTTCTGTGAGAATTTGTGCTTTTTGCATTTTTCATTTTATGAAGCTTGAGTTCTCTTCTAATAGTGAGATCTACTTTGTTTTATAATTTAGTATTTATTAAACCAGACTTTTCAGTGCTTTACATCAATTTTGCAAATAATTCATTTGAAGCAAGTTCTTCCTCTGCTAAAAACTGAATGACTCTCCATCTGTTATTTTCTCAGCATAAGATGTGCCGTGTCTAGAGCCAGTGGCTCTTTGCTAGCTTGTGTATTGTCACTTTTCTCACATCTCATGGAGACCTCTATAGCACCAAGCATTTGCTGGAAACTCTGCCCATAATTAGTTTTGCAGACATACACCCCTGTTACATCACTGTTCAGGAGGTCACACAATTGCACATTCTGTACTCTGCTTTTATGAGAGAAAAAGCACATGGCAGGAAGGCAAGCTGATACCAGGTATTTTATTGTTTTAAAGAAAGCAAGTTCCAGGGTATATCTTGGGGTCATTAAAGATGTGGCCCGCTGTGAATACATTTACAAGTATAGCACAGGTTAAAATTTTACAGGCTTAGGAAATACTATACTGGAGCTGAAGTAAAATTTAGTCCCTTGTTAATTTTTTGTTTTCATTAAAAGCATTTAGTCTTGTTAGAGGATGCTAATAGTTCCACATATCACCTCTAGGTAATTTCCAATTTGAGCTTGTGGTTGTTTGCAAAAGTGTGTCTGATGTCTTTATTTTTTCAAATACACAGATATTTTCTGATAGGAATCTATAAAGGAAAGCTGATCTTAATGATAAAGTATCCATGGTACTTAATTATCAAGGATTAGGAAATTGTCAGACTGAAATTTTCTCTGTTGGATAACAACTGATCAGTATTTAGTTCCAGGCTGATAGTGGCTACCATCCATGGCCTGCCACAGACTCTGGTAGAGAATGGACTGAGGGGTGGTAAAGGATGGTGACAGAGGCCATATGGAACAGGAAGCATGAAGGCAGAAATCAGAATCAGGACCTCCTTCAAATATAAATGCCCAGGGACAGTTTCTGGTTCTAGACAGCCTTCCTGTCACAGGGTTCCTCTGCCTCCTCAGCACTCAGTTTGCTTGTTTTCCTTTTCATTGCTGTACTGTGTAGGGTCCGGCTAGTTTTTCTCCTTCTTTGATCTCTGCAGAACAGATTGTACTTTGAATCCTCTCCCCTATATTTATGTCTGAAGTAAGCATGCTGGTGTTTTACTATTTGTAAAGAAAAGTAAATAATCCAGGAATAAAAAGTCTTTGATTGGTCTATTCCATAGGGATCGTTCCCAAGTTGGCATTTTTCAGGGGGCTGGGGGAGTTATAGTGTACCTGTTTCAAAAGAAAATCTGCTTAGAGTTATAGTGGATTTATTAGAATAGGCAGAAGCAGTGGCCTGGATGAAGGGGACTTTGTCTCTGGGTGGGAGGGATGAAGAAATAAAGACTGGTAGTAAGCTTTACTGGGGTGCTGGGCTACAGGGCTGCAGAAAGGGCAGCAATCATCCTGACCAATAAGACCAGAAAGTATATGAAACTCATGTGCCCCTTTGCTGACCTTGAAAAAGTTTTGTTCTTTGATCCAACAGGGAGACTTTAACACAAATACTAGAAGAAAATTTGAACTGTCTTGGCCATTTAAGTACTATTATTCGTGAAGCCAGTGAGGACCAGAGCAACAGTATGACGGTGAGTTCTGTGTGGAGATGAGTGTGCATTTCAGATATATTGGACACAAAAGTTGAATTTTCCATGTTCACTGTATCTGGCATTTGGGGTGCACATAGGGAATAGAACTCAGGAAAGTACATCTTAGAAATCTCTTGAACCTCAATTCTTCATCTTTTGTTTTGCAGGGACATTAACATACTTTCATTTCTGTTGCTGGGACAAATTTCCTTTACAAAAAGCAAATTAGGTCGGGGAGGGTTTATTTGGATTGTAATTCCAGGCTATAGTCCATCATTGTGAGGAAGTGAAGGCAGGAACTTGAAACAGCTGGTCATTCACATCCACTGTCAAGAGCAGAGAGAAAAGCATGCAGGTCTGCTAGTGCTCAGCTCACTGTTTTTAACCTTACACCGTTGAGGGCCCAACCCACAAAATGGTGCCACCCACTTTTAGGCTGAGTCTTTACACTTCAGTTAAGGTAATCAAGACAATCCTCTACAACATGTGCACAGGACAACCCGATCTAAACAGTACCTCCTTGAGACTTTTCCCAGGTTGTGTCAAACTGACAAAACTAACCATCATAGTTGTATTAGCATTGTGTCATCAGTAAACATCAACAGTAGCATTTTTGGCCACATTAAGCTTTTTCTGCAGTATGATTACTGAAATGGAATGGATGTACCTTTTGGTTCAACAATCTATTTTCTCCAGTAAGATGGGACTTTAATTTTGGTACTTGCTACATATAAAATCAATTGTGCTAATATAGTTCTAAATAAAAGTGGTTATATTAAGATTTACTATGAATTACTGATTTGTTAGAACTTGGGAGAAATGACATTAAAATGTTTAGTAAATAACTTACTACATTTAGTCTCAACATCAACTATTTATATTTCCACTTGAGTATTTTACTCAAATTTTTATGAAAAATCTTTAAGTATCCTTGAGGTTATCAAAACATAAGGTGAGCTAAATTCAACCTGTAACATTTGTAGTTTTTAATTTTTCAAATTTTGATTATAAAATGTCCAAACATAGAGAAAAAAACATAAAAATAAACTCATATACTTCCTACATTCAGACAACTTCTAATTGTTACTTTTCATCCTGCTTTTAGAATCTTGATTGGAGTTGGTTAGCAGAATGATAACCATGTGTTCACTGTCCGCATACCTATGGAGGTTGCTCCTGCACTTGTTGGGAATTAACTTTCCTCCTTGAAACCATTCTTCAAACACATCAGTGGGAGAAATGGATATGATCAGAAACTATTCATGATTATACAAGCACAATATCCTGATAATGAATAATTTTGACCTCTGAACTGATAGAATTTTATAACAAATCAATGAATTTAAATACTCTTTTCACACTGATCTACCTAGCAATATTAGCAGTGACCTGTTTTATCTTTAAAATTGGTAAAATGTTATTTGTTTAACTGGTGAAAAATATGTCCTCTAAAGTTTCAGCTTTTAGGCACAAGGCCAAATATAATATTATCATTCAGAGATGAAAATTCATCTAATGTGCATTTTAAGTAAAAGTTGTCTACCTGTGTTTATGTGGAAGAGACTGCTCACAAGTGAATTTATGCTTCTTGAAGAATCAACCTACCCTCCTTGTGCTGCACACAGCGAGTGCTTTTCTGGCATCATAAGGAGTTAGAATAATCCCTTTTTTAATTGTACTGCACATTTAATAGTATCCTCATCTTACAGAAGAGAGTGTGCATGTGTGTCTTTGATACCACCTGACTATGATAAATCATGGTGTGTGCTATGTGTATATGTATTTAAGGTGTACATTTAATAATATCAGAGAGAAAATGTCTGTTAATTTATAATGTATTTGAAAGGTTATGTGTTTTTGCATTTGTAAAAAATGGGTCATTTGTTTAAAAAGTCTTTCCTGTCTTGTCATACAGGTTTATACAGGTCTACATTCCCTTATCTGTAATTGTAATTTCATAATCCAAGCTTTGAAAAAAAGGTTTTCATGAGCTTGGTAACAAATTTCATTTGCTTCCAGATCTGTTCTGAACTGACATTGAATCTACTTATCCCATTTAGTGTGAATATTCATTTATTTTGCTGCATATTAATGTGTTTGATTATGGGGATGTTGCCACAGACTCTTTTGAGGGTTAATGTAGTATGGTATATGCACTGAATTACCTTTCTAAAATCTGAAAATTTTGTAATTCTGAAACATCTGGCCTTAAGAGTTTCAGATAAAGGATTGTGGATCTCTGCCTTCTGTTAAATAACTTAGAAGGTGTTATTTTTAAAATGTGAAATGCTTTTATATTCTAGTTTTTCACTTTGCATATTAAATGATTTTTGAATTATTTTTGAATGTTTATTCTATTAAACAGATTGTAGTACCATAGGTTGATAGGACTTGGGAAAATGTGAGGTTATATGATGGATATTGGAGCCCACAATAATGTATGTGGATGCGTGTATATGTGTATATGCATGCGTGGAAGCCAGAGGACAACCTTGGGGATAATCCTCAACATCGCCCCATCTTCTTTTTAAAACAGTCTGTTGTTGGCCTGGGGCTCATCAATTAGGCTAGACTGACTCCCCAGTGAGCCCCAGGGATCTTGTCTCTGCCTCTCCAGTGTTGGGATTACAAGTGCCTTCCATGATATCGAGCATTTTATGTGGGTTCTTGAGGTCAAACTCAGGTCATTGTGTCTGCAAATCAAGTGCTTTGCCGACTGCTCCATCCCCAACCCCCTTGGACTTCCTTTTTTAAAAATTATTTTATATTGTCAGGCATGGTAGCGCACACCTTTAGTCCCAGCACTCAGGAGGCAGAGGCAGGCAAGTCTCTGTGAGATCGAGACCAGCTTGATCTACATAGTAAGTGCTAGGCCAGTTGGGGCTACAGGGAGACCCTGTCTCAAAAAAAGCAAAACAAAAAGATGATTGATAGATGATTGATAGATAGATAGATAGATAGATAGATAGATAAATAGATAGATAGATAGATAGATTATTTTTTATTTTATATATAGAGTGTTAGGCCTGAATATATGTAAGTGCACACCCGTGTTGTACAATGCCCATGACAGCCAGAAGAGGGCATTGGATCCCCTGGAACTGGAGTTACACACAGTTGTTTGCTGCCATGTGGATGCCTGGAACTGAGCCAAGTCTTCTGCAAGAACAGCTAGTGCTGTAAAACTGCTGAGCCTTCTCTCCAGCCCCTCCTTTTGTACTTTCTTAAGGCATGAAATAGGACTTATGGGAAAATATTAGCAATTTTCTTACTGTAATGCTTTCTCCTAAGATGTTCTATCAGTATTACCAGTATCTAAAAGCAACAGTAAGATCTTGCCATACCAACTGATGACATAGTCCTAGTCCTCCCATCCCCATTTTACCAGTGCTGTTATTTTTCCTGTTATTCGTTTGAAAGCTTTGATTATCTTTGATTTTGATTTTGTTTTTGAGACAGGGTCTCACTGTTAACATAGTCTAGCTTCAAACTTGCCATCTTCATGCCTCAAGTCTCCAAGGTGCTGGGATTACAGGAATGTACAATCATGCCCAGCTACTTTCTGTCTTTAAATCATCATATATCAGTGTTTCTGTAAAGATGTGGATTCATTCTCTATCAACTGTTATAATAGGCAGACTGTCTTGCTTCAGTAGTCTCAAAGGTATTAATCATTTATTGAATACTTCTTGCTCAGAAGATATCAAGCAAGATGGAAAGGTCAGAAAGTTTTTTGTTTTGAGACAGAGTCACTGTATAGACCTGGCTGGCCCGGGTAGATCAGTAACTCTTTCTGTAGACCAGGCTAGCCTCAAACTTATAGCAGCACTCCTGCCTCTTGTCTCCTAAGTGCTTGATTAGAGGAGTGGCCACTATGCCTGCTTAATCAAAAAGTTAATGTAGGCAATAAAAATATTTACCTAAGAATCTGAGCATGTCATTAATTATTCAAAGACTCCCCCCCTCAGAAACCACCATTTCTAAATATCATTGGTATAAGTATTTGCTACATGAGGTCCATTTTGATGGTGCCTGACTGGAGTGATGTCAGGGCAGCTGAATCTACATAATTTGGACAGGGGATGTGAGTCAGAACAGATTTTAGTGAGATCACCCCAAAAATGCTTCTGAAGAATGAGTAGACCCTTTAGTTTTTTGTTAAGTAACAATGTTTCAGAATTGAAACTGGGACATTATATATACACACATACATATATGTACGTATATATAATACATGTATATATGTGTGTATATAAACTATACATTTAATTCTATAAGCAATAATATGACAAAACAAGATTATATCCAGAAAACATAGGTACTAGTGCCAGAACCCATTCTTTTAATTTTCTTGGTCGGGTGGAACCCAACTTGCTGCTAGGGAAAAACTCTACTGCTGATCTACACGCACAGCTTTCTTTTTTTCCTTTTCTTTGGAGCTGGGTGTCGGGGCTGACTTTGTTTTCTTAGACAGGCTAGCCAGAAATTCCTATTCCTCTTGCTTCAGCATCCCAAGTGTCATCAGGGCTAGCTTTGGAGGCAGGGGAAAGGGAAAGTAAAAATAGCTAAACTCTGCAAACATTTATCTAGAACAGACAAGGCCCCATATCATATATTCCTAGGTGATAAAAAATGAATGATACAGGTTAGTGCGTTTATTGAAGGGGAGTGACTAGACTGGTATGATCCACCTTGCCTTAATGAGGCCTTGAACTGTTTACTTCTGTTTTCCATTGTTACTGACACTGGACTGTGAACTGTAATTTTGTTCCCAGCCTCCTGTCTGTCTCCATTCTGAGCCCCTTAACACTGCCTCCTGGTAGAGATTAGACTCCTTCAAACCCTCATCACCTTGACCAGTTGTGTCTGCACCACTGCTACCTTTTCTTTTTTTTCTTTTTTTGGTCTTTTTGAGATAGGGTCTCCCTGTAGTCCCAGCTGTCCTGGATTCACTATGTAGACCAGGCTGGCCTTGAACTCACGGAGATCCGCCTGCCTCTGCCTCCCGAGTGCTGGGATTAAAGGCGCGTGCCACCATGCCTGACCACTGCTACCTTTTTAAAGCTCACATCATTTCTGCCTAGCTTACTTGATGCCCTTATTTCCGGTGTATACATACGTCTTACCCCAAACCCTACCCTTTGAAAAAATATTTTTGCTAATATATGCACGTGGTGCGCATTTTTATTTTTTAAACTTTATTGTGATGTGTTCATATGCGATATGGGACAGAAGGCACAATGCCACTGTGTGCATGTGGAGACCAGAGGTTGTGGGGTCAGTTCTCTCCTTTTACTGTTAAGTGGGATTCGGGGATGGAACTCAGGCCGTCAAGATTGCACACTAGCACCTATACCCAAGCCATCTCGCCAGCCCACGTGGTGTGAAATTTTAAAATACAATATGCAGTGAAAAAAGTCTCTGTCTTCTAGTCGTCCAGCATCTCTTATCAGCAGAGAAATGCATCCAGACTTACTATATCTGGTTCAAGTCTAGCCTACCATGCCACTCCTTTCCACCACACAGGTTTCAAGGAAACTCAAGTGCTTACTAAATTCCTTTCTGAGTGGACAGTTGCAACCCCCACACTCCACTTGCGTAGACCATTCGGTTCCTATTTTCTAGGTGGCCTTCATGAAGCTCTCTGGCACATAGTATTCAAACCAAAACTAAACCTTGAGTGACTAATGCAGTTAGATGCAACAGAGTATACCCCACTTTCCTGTTTGCGACCCTGAAGCACGTGGTTGCCAAACTATAAGGCTGGATACAGACTCGAAAGGACGCAAATCATCTACACCGAGGGAGTCCTCTTCACAAGAACAAACGGGCCAGCCTCCTGAGCACTACCCTGTCTTCCTTATCTCTCCCTGTTGACTCCAAACTAACTTTCCCCCCGCAGCACGAAAAGCCAGGCGCCTCACTGCGCAGCCGGCCAATTTTGTCCTGCGCTCTCTCCGTCCCTCCAGCGGAGGGCCTTGGCGGGCGGGCGGGGGTGCGTCGCGTGCGTCCTCGCGCAGCCGCAGTGTCGGCCAGGTGGGCGGGGCCGGCTGTTGGCAGCGTTTGGCGGGGCTGGAGGCGGCTGCACGTGCGTGCGGGGGCGATGCGTCACTGACCGGTGAGACGGGGCCGCGGGTCCCTCGGGAGTCCGAGGTAGGGGGCACCCTGCGGCGTCGGTGCCTTCCACGGGGCGGCGGCAGGACGCGGGGTGTCACGACGCTGTGCGCAGAGCCGGGCTCCTTCCCGCCTCTGCCCGTGACCGGACGCGGCTGGGAACTGGGGGCCGGACCTGTGGGTCCGGGCTGAGGTTCCTCTCCTTCCTCACCTAGGAGGAACAAGGATGAATATGACTCAAGCCCGGGTTCTGGTGGCTGCAGTGGTGGGGCTGGTGGTGGTCCTCCTATACGCCTCCATCCACAAGATCGAGGAAGGACACCTGGCTGTGTACTACAGGTGAGCGCTGGGCGCTACAAGTGAGCGCCGGGTGCAGCCACCCGGGCTCGAGAGAGAACCGAAGGGGCACCGTGCTGAGTGGAGTCTGGTTAGGTGCCCTGTCTGCAGCGCCAGGGGAGCGCTCCAGGTTTTGGGAAGGGATTTTCGTCCCAGCTGACGGGAAAGCGTGCCTGAGACTCAGTGTTTCGCGGAGCACCATCCAGGTGTTGGGTGGTTTAGTGCTGTGTTCATTTTGTGTAGGAGGGAAGGCAAGACTCAGTGCTGCCGACGGGATGGAGAGACCTCACAGTGGTCCATACAACTGTGCGGGTCTCTGTAGTTTGCCTCTGTAGCTGCTCTTTGGGAAATCTGAACCTACTTAGGGCTTTTCCTCAAGAGTTTTTTGGGTTTTTTTCTTTTTTGTTATAAACCTCTCAGTATCTGATTATGTCTCTTAAAGTCTTAATGATCATGACAGTGTTACAGCCCTAGACCACAAGAGACAAAAACACAAATTTGATAAGCCACCCTTCCAGCTCATTCCCTTCACGTCAGGGCGAGGAACGGTGTGGGGTGTGTTGCTGTTTAGTTGATGTGGCATAGCTTTTCCTTCAGCATCAGTTTGTGGAGAAATTGGGATAGTGGTTTATCAAAAACAAGCAAAACAAAAACAACCCAGAGCGTCTGATTTTTCCTTATTTCCATCATGTCCCCGAAACTGGGATTTCTACTTTTAGATGCATCTTGACTCCTAGAAAAAGTATAGTTTTATGCCTTAGCAGATGGAATTTAGGGAACTGACAGCCTGGTCCAGATTTCCATCCCTTTGGCATTGTCTTTCTGGAAGTAAAACCACAGATACTGAACTGATGAGCCTTAAATAGTTCATGTTTTTAATTGACTTTCAAACCTATTTATATTTTCAGGACAAGGATCTAATTTCTATGAATTTACTGTTTGCTATGTAAAATAGGACTTATTTGTTGTATTTGCTCCCTAAAATACCTCCTTTTCACCATTTCTGGGGAGTGTTTCCATAGTTCTCACATTCCAGACCTGATGAACCAGTCTCTCTTTTACTTGTAATCTTAGTTCTCATCATCCATCTTCCTGTGCTAATTTTCATTGTTTTTGTACAGAAACTGTGTTCCCAGAATTTTAATAATAAATTAAAAGAATCATTAACCTCAGAGATTTTCTTTGAAACTTTGTCTTTTCTTCTTTTTTCAACCTAATTACTAAATGTATTATGTTTTCATTTGCCTCATGTTATGTACAATTAAAGTATCTCAAATAAGAGTCATTACAAATTTTCCACAAATATTTGCCAGAAAGTTTCTGATCAGACAAGATCTTTTGAACCCTAGAGCAGTGCTGGAGACCAAGAGAGCTATCTATGGTTGGCAGCGCTTACGAAGCAAGGTGTAACAGTGGCAGTTGGTTTGGGTTTTTCACATTTCTAAGTGTGGTAGATATTTTCAGTAGTAGCTGTCCATCTTGAGTAACTCTGCTTTAGTAAGGCTTTAGTAACATGACTAATACAGAATATTTATTATAGCATTTTAGATTTAGGAAGAGGATTTCTATAACTTTGTCAAACTGGGGCATCTTTTTGCAGGGGAGGCGCTTTACTAACGAGCCCCAGTGGACCTGGCTATCATATCATGCTGCCTTTCATCACTACCTTCAGATCTGTGCAGGTGAGTGATTCCCAGGGATTCCAGGTAGACAGGTATGACAGGAGTTACCACACTTCTGGGTGGAGGTAGATTTCCTTATTGCTTAAGCAGATGTTGCTGTTTACTTAAATGCAGGAGTTGAGGTTCAGAGTGTAACTGTCACAGCCCAAGTTACAATTTTAAACCACCTTGCTCTCTTAAAGAGTGAACTAAGCAGCTTGTCCAGACTGACCTCTGCCATCTTTATAATGGCATAAGCAGGTTTTCTGTTACTGAAGACAAAAGAAAGAATTAGGAACACAGCTTGGTTTAGAACAGTGTTTGGTTTCCATAGAGGCAGGCTCCTAGGCTACTGTTAACACGGGGATCTGAATTTTTATTCATAGCTCACATGCTTTTGCCTGGTGCATTAAACACAATTTTATGTGGAACCTTAGTGAATGTGGTACTTTAACAGCATTTCAGAATATTTGAAATAAATATCTGGTTATTGAAAAGAGCAGGATTGGGCTTTGACCACTTTTGCAGACTCTGTGATCATAAATCTTTGTATTCAGTTTTATCTACCGTCTGCTGCAATTTTGGGGGAATCAGGGAAATTCAGTGTTATTTAATCTTATAATTTTAATTTTAGGCTTTCTGCTAAATGAGATTGTAACTGTAAATAGCTAAATCTCCCAGGTATCTTCCCAGATCCCCCTTTAATGGCATAGGAAAGGATTGTACCTGTTGAAGAGAAACAGGATAAGCATGGTGCCCTTCCCCTAGCCACACTGATTTCCAGATTGACTGCCCATATTTTGTTCTTTTTTTTTCTTTTTAATTTTTTTGAGTTTTTATTTAAAGGCATACTTTATATAATTTATAATTTCCATATTAAATAATCCTATAATAGAATGATTTGATACAGTTTTAAACAAAAGCAAAAAGGGAAATATTTCAGGTTACAAAACCCTTCTCTCCAGAACAAGTTTTTTTAAGAAGAAATCACTTTTTCTAAATGGGACAGTGTGATAAAGGTGTTCAGTGACTAGGTATGTCTAGTTCTTATTGCACATTTTTTTCATTCTTGCCTTGGTTAATGTTGCCACCTGTTCCTCTCCCTTCCCTTCCTCCATCCTCTCCTGTCTAAATCTTGCCAGCCTTTTTTAGACTCATCCCAAATTCTTTCTTTTCTGGGCTGGAGAGGTAGTACAACATTAAAGGCTCAAGCTCACAACCAGACTCTTTTTCTGATATATAGTTCTTAAAGTCTTCATTTTAAATATTTACCAGTGGTCTTTGGGGGGTGAGTGGAGAGGCCAGGGTCTCATTTTGTAGACTAGACAGGCCTCAAACTTGCTGTGTAAACCAGGCTGGCTTCAGACTCAAGAGATCTGTCTATCTCTGCCTACTGAGTGCTGGGATTAAAGGCATGAGCCACCACACCCAGCTGGTCTTCTTTTAATAAAGTTTTCTTGCATAAGTTTCTCTGTGTGTTTTCTTTCCAGAAAACCTGTAAGATTCTTGAAAGTAGGAGATGTGACATACTTAGATTTCTGATCTTTCTTCTGCTTATAGTAGAAGTTGTTAAATTGAGCTTATTTCTCAGGAAGCAAAGTGTTAGGGGAATGGGAATTTGATTCTGTCACAAGTTGTTGCATAATTTTGATAAAAGTTACTTAATTGTTGTAAAACTTCAGTTATTACTCTGAGAAAGGATTTTAATTACATGTCTTCACCAACAACTTTGACAGTCTGCTAAAGAGTCTAGTAGAGATCAGGGACTTTTCTAGATCTTGTTTAAGCGAGGTCAGTCTTCCTCTGCCTTCTTGAAGCTGACTATATTAAGCAGTACTGATGCAATGATACATAAATAAAAACAATAATAGTAAAGAGATTTTAGAGTTTATATACATACAGATTTCTGTGTTTGATAGTAACAAACTGTCAGAGACAAAGTGAAATTAGTAAAAAGATTTCAACATAAACTAATAGTTTGCATCTACTAGAAAATTAAATGCTAGAGCCAGGGTGACAAAGCAGGAATGTCTTTCATGTATGAAAAAGTAGCATTCCAGACAAGAATTATATTAATAAGATCCTTTAAAGAAACTGTTCTTGCTGGGTGTGGTAATACCTTTAAATCCCAGCTCTCAGAGGGCAGAGACAAGCAGATCTCTGTGAGCATAAGCCTGGCCTACATAACAAGTTCCAGGCCAGCCTGGGCTACAGAGTGAGACTTTGCCTTTAAAAAAAAAAAAGAATGGAAAACTTTTCTGAGGAACATAAGACATAAATTTGTGTTTTGGAATTTTTAGAACACATTAGAAGTTGGTGTGGAACAATGGAAATTGAATTAGTTTAATGTTTTGAAAGAAGCAGAACATACAGAGCTTGTGTTTGTCAGCTTTCTCCTTTTGTGTTGCCTAGAATTATCATTAATGTTTGCCACCACCCTAATCTCTCAAAGAATTGTGTTTTATTCTTTTTTATTCTGGGATTTTATATTCAACCTAGGTGTTCCTAAGATTAACATCTTTCTTTTTTTTTAAATAAAAAATATCCATATATTTTAAATTTTATGTGTATGAGTATATTGCTTGCATGTGTGTAAATGCACCAATGTCATGCAATGCCCTCCAAAGTCAGTTCCTCTAGAACTGGCATTGGGATGACTGTTAGCTACTATGTGGGTGCTGGGAAGTGAACCAGGTCCTGTGCAAGAACAGCCAGTGCTCTTACCTGCTGAGCCATCTCTCCTACCCCCTCCCCTCCATCCTTCAGTTTTAATGGCCTTTACTAAACTAAATAAATTATTTTCTTCAGCTGGCATTTTTTTGTTGTTTCTAGGTAAGATGAATAGTGAGAACTGCATTACATGATCAGAGGAGTTAAGTAAAAGACCTGTTTTCTCTGGTTCTAGGAATCAAACCTAAGGCTTGAACCTAGAGCCTTGTGCATTCCAGACAAGTGCATTACCATTGGGTCTCATTTTCTGTGCTGGTCTGGAACTTGCAGTCTTCCTTCCTCAGCTTCCCAAGTAGCTGAGATTACAGGTTTATATGACCACTCTTCAGCTCTGAACTTTTTTTTTTTTTAGATGGGGTCTCACTGTGTAACCTTAGCTGGCCTAGAACTCACTATGTGGAGCAGGCTGGCTTTGAACTCATAGATATCTGCCTGCCTCTGCCTCCTGAGTGCTGGGATTAAAGGTATGTGCCACCATGCCCAGCTCTGACAAATTTTTTTTGAAAGGTTCACTTTATGAATGTGTGTAGTAGGAATTAAAGAGTAGCTAAACTCCCCAGCCAATATTCAAGGCCCTTCTATCATCATGATCACCTCTCATCTGAATTGGGCCTTCTGCTTCAGGCAAACCAGGCTAAAGTCTTCAACTTTTGTGTGTTTGAATAGGACAGTTATTGAAATTAAGATGTTTCTTTGTCTCCCCTGCCCTTTCTTAACTTCTAAACCTGCTTACTAGTACTTCACATACATATGTATGTGTGTGTGCCTGCTTGTCTGTGTGTGCACCACGTGCATGCAGTGCCCATGAAGGCCAGAAGAAGGTGCTGGATCCCTTGGAACTGGAGTTAACAGGTGGTGGTGAACTGCCTAATACTGCTGTTGGGATTTGAATTCTGTAAGAAAGCAAGTGCTCTTAACCACTAAGCCATCTCTCCAGCCCCATCAGAGAGCTTTTAAGACTAGTATTTCATTCTTTGTAACTTAGTACCTAACAGCTCAGTTTTTATACTTTTATTTTGCACCTGCTTTATAAGAATTTATTTCCTGTGGCAGACTGTGAATTCTAATGAACAGGAATAAACTAGCATGTTGCTGTGTGCTTAACAAGGTATAATGTGTCCAGAACATACTCATCAGCTGCTGACCTGTTTGAAGGCTTAGAGTACATAATCAAAAGCCTTTCTAGATACAATGGTGTGACATGGCAAAGCAATTGAGAGCCAGATTATTGCTTCACTAGAAGGAAGCAGTACTGGCATAGGCACTTAGATTAAAACAGAACTGTGAAAGAGCACTAGGACTTGAACTGAGGCATTGACTATGTCTTTGCTGTTGAGTTCAAGGGTAGTTTTGATTCATAAAGTACTTATGTACATGAAATAGTTATCACTTATATCTTCAGTGTAAACAGTAGTAACCAGGAATCAAAGTTCAGAGCACAGACTTTAGTCATAGTATCCTTGTGGGTGAGCTGTGTCATTTGCAGTCTCAAGCCAGTTCAAGGCAAATAAGATACTGTAGAAAAAAATCTTTCCTGCCTACTAGTAGATTGAATGTTGAATGTTCCTAGTATGTTCTGATTCCAACCTTAGGTACAAAACACATACTATCTCAAGTCTTTCTAGATATAGAAAGAAATGGCTAATGTAATCAACTGATCTTTATAGACTGAAATTGTGATTGAGCTGTCCTATACTTACTGTCAACAATTCTCCAGAGATTGGCCTCTGGGATCAGCAGGGTTTTTTATAGATAAGTTTTGATGAGCTATTTTTCCTTCCCAGACAACACTACAAACTGATGAAGTTAAAAATGTGCCTTGTGGAACAAGGTAAGCTTTCTCCTTAATGACCAGTCTCCCTTTAGTTCTGATGAAACTAAGAAGGTCACTCAAGAAACCTTTGTTATTTTGCTGTTTTTGAGTCAGACTCTCACACTGTGGCCCTGGCTGATCTGGAACTTGATATGTAGACTAGGCCAGCCTCAGACTTTGAACAGTCCTCCTGCCTGTTTCCCCAGTCCTAGGATTATAGGTATGTGACTTGATGCCTAGCTAAGACACTTCCACACAGGCATAGCTGCATCAGAGATTTCTGTGCTATGATTGAGTAAAGCCCCAAATGGAGCATTCCATCTGGGGGTATTATTGGAAAGAGTCGAGTTTTAGAGCCAGTAGACCTCACTTTGTGTGTCAGCCTTACCACTTCTGTGTTAACTGTTGTAATTGACTTTATTTTCTTAGAGCAATTTAGGTTCATAGGAAAATTAGCAGAAAATACAGGCTTCTCATGTAGCCCTTCCCCCTCTCATACCTTGATTAGCTTTTCTAAGCTTAGTTCCACAAAATCAGGGAATAAGACTTACATTCAGTACTTTAGGGATTAGAATTAGCACATAAAAAGGGTATATAGTCCAAAACATGACTAAAAATTGATGCTTAGTAAAAAATAAAATGAAATCGTTGCCAGGTGTGATGACACATACCTTTAGTTCCAGCACTTGGGAGGCAGAGGCAGGCCGATCTCTGTGAACTTGAGTCCAGCCTGATCTGCATAGTAAGTTCCAGGCCAGCTGGGGCTACAGGTAGAGCCTATCTTAAAAAGCAAAACAAGCTGGGTGTGGTGGCGCACACCTTTAATCCCACACTTGGGAACAGAGACAGGCAGATCTTTGTGAGTTTGAGGCCTGATTTATATAGTGAGCTCCAGGCCAGCTGGGGCTACAGGGAGATGCTATCTCAAAAAGAAAAAAAAAAAAAAAAAATCAAAGAAGTCATTCCACCTTCTTACTTATAGTTTTAATAGCACCTGAGTCAGTAGGTCTGAAATAAAGCTACAGAATTTGTCCTTCTAACAAAGTTCCTGAGCAGTATTGATGCTATTGGTCTAAAGGCCTCTCTTTAAGAATTGCTGTTGTAGGGGCTGGAGAGATGGCTCAGTATTTAAGAGCACTGACTGCTCTTGCAGAGGACCCGGGTTTGATTCCCAGCACCCACATGGCAGCTAACAACTGTCTGTAACTCCAGTTCCAGGGGAATCTGATGCCCTCTTCTGACCTCTGCAGGCATTGCACAACACAAATGCACTTACATACATGCAGGCAGTACACTCATACACACACAAAAAAAAACTCATAATAAAAGAATTGCTGCCCTAAACGGTTTTAGAAACAGAAAGGCAAGCAAGGCTCAAGGTACTACTAAAGTATACGTATGACATTGAATTATATCAAATGAAGAATGTGAAATGCAAGGTATTTTTAAAATTGCCTATTTTAAATAACCTAAAATATATCACTATTACAAGCCCACAAAGGTATCTTTGCCATCTGTGGTGGGACAGATATGTTTAAAAAGGACCAAATGCTTTTATGTTTTAAGCTAATACATTTATCAAGTTTGTAGGTCTATCTGTAACTTTCTTTTATGGTTGCCTTTATTGTGGCTCAGACATTTTTCTTGTGTGTTTTAGTGGTGGGGTCATGATCTATATAGACCGGATAGAAGTGGTCAATATGCTGGCTCCTTATGCAGGTATGTTACTTATCTTATTGTTTAATTAGAACCAGGGTGTTTATAACTGAGGAAGGAGTAGGAAGGTAAAAGTCTTACCACTGCAGTGGTTTCTGGTGAGTACAAAAGAACAATCGTGGGGATATTTTCAATCTCTAGGGACTAGAAGTAGAAACAGATCACAAGGTGTGGGCAGAATTAATTTTCAGGAACCGTTTGAGTTATTCATCTCTGAAGTTAGTGTTTTTAAGAGCAAATATTTCTAGAATGAGAAAGTAGCAACCCAGTTAGGGTAAGAGAATTTCTTTATATGCTGAAAATCTATAACCAATCAATTCTTTTGGGTCACACTGATTTGTCACCATAGAAAAACCTTTCCTAGTTGAGATTTGTCATTATTTGCAAAGCAATCTGATGGCCCTCAGTATAGAGAATGTATTTTCTTAGTAAAAGATGAACACTCACAAAGATAATGTGGATAAATGTTCTATTAAAATACTCAGTTTGGGCTGGGGAGGGAGATAGTTATGCAAACATGAGGACCTGAGTTTGACTTTCAGCACCTGAGTTAAAAGCTGAATGTAGTGTGCATTTGAAATCCCAGTGCTGGGAAGGCAGAGACAGGAAGATCCCTTGGGCCCAATGTCCAGGCAGTCTAGCCTAATTAGTGAGCCGCAGGTCCCAGTGAGAGACTCAGGAGTGACACCTGAGGTTGACTTATGGCAGGCACATGCATGTAAGCACATGCACACGTGGGAGTATACACGCACACACAAACACACAATTACAAATTTCGAAGATGTTTCATCTTTATTGTTAATAAAACTGGCATGTCTGGTATGTTGAGGATACTATATGTTTGGCAAGAATAATTGTTAAAAGGTAAAATTATAGCCTTTGCCTCTAAGGTGTTTCTGTTGTACTTGAGAAGCCAGAACAGAGAGGGGAACACATATTGAAATGGAAGATCACATTAAGTTTTATATCACTGGTAGACACAGATAGTGAAAAGATTTCAGAGCAAGATTTGCAAATACATTTTTTAAGTGGTTTGCATTCGTCTTTAGAGATTAAGTATTTTCCTCGTGGTTTTTCTTCTATGATTGGCTATCTTAAGTATCCTTTGCAGGGTCAGCTGAGCGCATATCAAAAATACTTGGGGGGGAAAGTGCATCTGTACAAAATATATGTAGACTTTTCCCTGTTGTTATCCCCTAAACAATCCAGTATAATGACTGTTTACATGGCATTTTATTGTATTAAGTATTATAAGTCATCTAGAGATGATTTAAAGGATACAGGAGGATGTGCAGTTTATATGCAACTATTACTCAAATTTTATATAAGAGACTTAAACATAGATTTTAGTATCTCCATAGGCTCCTGGAACCATTTTCCTACAGGTACCAACCAATGACTGTGTTCTAAGGTCACAAATCACCGAAATGGATTATGATTAAAAATAAAGAGACTGATGGTTCTCTGACTAGAGATAATTAGGAAACTTACTAGATCACCAATTCATTTGGAAAATGATGAAACCAAATAATTAGTCAACAATTATTTACCAGTGACCTAGTCCATGAGGTATGATCTGGAATTCAGATATAGCTAATATCCCATGTGGGAAGGCCAGTGGGGCAAGTGTTTGGATCTGAAAAACAGACACAGGCCAGGGGTGGTGATGCATACCTTTAATTTCAGCGCTTGGGAGCCCGTTACAACTATGTGAGGTCCTGTCTCAACAACAACAAAACCAAAAAACACACAGAAAGCAGCATGTTTGAATATATAGAACACAAATTCTGACATAGTCTGTACCTTTGAGGACATTTCTGAAATTCTCTGGCTAGTTTTATAAATTAGGAGGAGAGTGAGTGAGTGAGTGTGTGTGTGTGTGTGTGTGTGTGTGTGTGTGTGTGTGTGTGTGTGTGTGTGTGAAGCACTAATGTTTATAAATTGCCTAATATAAAGTCTAGTAAATGCTAGTCCCTTTCCCTCTAGCCCAGGGTCTTTTTAATACAGCCATTAAAAACTATCTTTAAAGGGGCTGGAGAGATGGCTCAGCTGTTAAGAGCACTGACTGTTCTGCAAGAGATCCTTGTTTGAATCCCAGCACCCACATGGTGGCTAACAACTGTCTGTCACTGCAGTTCCAGGGGATCTGAAGCCCTTTTCTGACCTCTATGGGCACTACATGACACAGCTGTACTTACATAAATGCAGTCAATATGCTCATATGCATAAAATAAAAAATAAAGGTTTTTTATTTTTTTAAACTATTCAAAAAAATTTTTTTAAGTTAACTTGCAAAGTAATGGCATTTTTATACTTATCCGCCATTATACTTCGTTCTAATTAGCTCTCTTCCCCCATGGCACGTTCCCCACTCCCCCCACCACCCCCCAACTGATTCCCTTCCTCCA